ATGGTCTGCTGAGGCTACACATTGGTATTATTAATGATACCCTAATGATCTACTTATGGCAGGAAGCATCCTTTACATTAATATATTAGGACTCAAATGCTGCCATGTTAGGTAACCATTTAATTTTATTGCTTTAATACTAAGATCACCTTTTCTAAACACGGCACAGCACATTGGATATTTTTCCACATCCATCCATTTTATAACTGCTTTATCCAAAGGGTCACAGGGGAGCTGGAGCCTATCCTTGCAAGCAACGGGCGCAAGGCAGGGCACAATCCGGGTGGGACGCCAGTCTCATAGGGCACACGCTGCACCAACGCAGATGCGCACGCATTCACACAGTGCCAGTTTTCCCGGAGGTCAGTTACCCCACCAGCATGTCTCTGGGCAGTGCGCCGGAGGGAAACCCCCTCGAACGTGGGGAGAACATGCAGACTCCACCCAGACAGCACCCCAGGTCTAGAATAGAATCCAGGGCCCTAGTGCTGTGAGGGAGAAGCTCTGACAACTGTTTTTCCACATTGTTTCTTTCAAACAAAAAATGAATATAAATCTAAAAATAGGTTTGAAGAAACTCTGGGGAATAATTCCCAAATTTGCCGAATTGCTCTCACAACAATTTATTTCTGAGCCATGGCACACGTCTTTGATGTGTCGTTTGCCTTGTTCTCGTGGTGGCTGCATCAACACAGCTGGTTCCCCAGGTCCTGCTTTTCATTCACAGGCTTTATTTCTCAGCCCAACAAGCTGCGTTTATAAAACAATCTCCACGCCTGGTTTGCCGGAGATTGTCCACCTGTAATTTGCTCCCCTAAGAACAGTTTTCACAAAGAGCAGTAGTTTACAAATCCACACACAAAAAAAAAGAACTCAAAAGGCAGAATAAACCATGGCTGAAATGCGCTCAGCACTCAACAAAAACAGTTCAGCCACTGGGAGAAATTATTTTCAAAGGTCTGCTTATTCTGTGGATAAAAAAGCGTGACAACTGATGGAAGGCAGCAGTACTTATTTTGAAAAAAGAAACACTAAATGTAGGTAATGCGCTATACATGTCTTTGAAACATATGCACATGATTTATATCAAACAAGTACATATATATAATAAATAAGCATTTTTTTTCCTATTGGCAAAACAAGTCTTACCTACTGTGAAGGATAGTAATAGAATTCTGATGCAAACGTCAGAGAAGACTTCTGTTCAGGGTACCGCCTTCTGAAGTACGGCAACAGGTTAAACAATTTGCACGCTTAAAGGAAGTAAGCTGCTAAAACACTTACATTATGAAACATCATACAGTAAGTGACAAGGGGAAAAATGTTACCTACAGGGTTGGAAACTTTCAGCCGAGCCTCGTTTGTCACACTGGAGATCCTTTGAAATGCTTTTCTTAGTCTCTTCCCTTCGTCCAGCCCAGAGCAGATGCCTGGCCGGACCTGTGGAAAGAGGTCACCTGGCAGAGATAGTGCACAATCGAAGGGGATCAGGTGCAGGTGTAGAAGTGCCCTGCAAGACCCCAGGGAATCCAGCGATTCTCCTTTTCTGTCCTTTAACATGTTGCACCCATCTCACTGAAAACGGGCATGAAAACGGGGGTGGTGCAGGATCAATCACCCAATCAATCATCATTTTATGAAACATCCTTTCCTGACTACCTCCAAACATCCCAGTTGTGTAGGGTGCTGCAGAAAGGGCAGCCAAGAGTAATTTAGCCGAAATACAGAAGCAGTGTGTAAAAGCTGTAAATAAAACAGGTACAGTGCCCTCTGTGTTTATTCATATCCCTGAAGGAATAGGAGCAATAAATATCAAATAACAAAAAGGTTTACTGACTGGATAACGTCTTTTGATTAAAAAATTCTGAAAACATTATACAGTAATCTTAATTGCATTACACAGAGAAGAATTGCATTTGTCCTAATTTATGTCTAGATAGGACAAGGTTCACATTTATTCACACTCCTGTATTTTGTAAATCTTCCTCTGGCAGGGATCAAACTAACTGTATGCCCCTGGCTCAATTTTAGTTTAATCTGTCCATAAGACATTGTCTCCATTGTAATTCCAACAATGTTGAGCTAGTTTGAGCTACACGTTTTTGTGGTGCACATACAGAAGAGGCTGCTACCTTGCAACCCAGCAATGATGCCCGCATTCATGCAGACTTTAAATGCCAGTTTTTCGACACTTTGTATCCTGAAGATGCCAGTGTGTATCGGAGATCCCCAGCTGTTGCCTTCAGATTAATGTTTGCCTCCCAAGCCACTAGTTTCGCTGGTTGTGGAGGCAAGATACACTTGCATCTTCTTCCTAGCAGGATTGCTCCAGTACGAGTAGCCTTCAATTTCTTAATAACTGACATGATTAATAATTGATGAGAAAGTGGTAGATACAGCTTTTTGTGGAATCTTTTGCAGCCATCCCCCAGCTTGTGGAGGTCAATGAGCATTTGTCCGCATTCTTTGAAGAGCTCTCTGACATTAAGTTTATAACAATGCATGCTGCAACTGAATTTTCTTTGTGTATTACCTCCTTTCATACCCCAGGGAAACAGAAAGCCTTCTGAGACCTCTGTATAGCTGTAGAGGCTTCCATTGCACTTTCAAAGAGCAGCATGTTATTGTAGATTTATTTCTGTTGATTTTTTAAAGGAATACTTAGTGGTGTGAATAAACGTGACCTTCTTGTTTTGCAGAATTCAATTATTTATGACTAATATGACTACGCTCTCTGCTATGCTATTATTATTACAGTATGACATTTCAGCATTTGTTAAGTGAGATAAAGTACAATCCATAACTCATTCTGATTTTTTGTTCCTGTTTCACTGAGGGTATGAATAAATCTGGAGGGCATTGTACAATAAAACAGCACCATAACTGTGAGGTACTGTATGAAATGTCTTTTCATGGGAGTCGAAGGTATCGGAGGATGCATTTATTTTCAAACATTAATCAAAGGTTACATCTAAGGACTCCTATTTAGAAAGCTCTATACAAACAGGGAGCTGGGTGGAGTTATGAGGATAAAATCATGATGACTATAAGAAAGGTACCATGCCAAGAAAGCCCAGCTCTCAAATCTGCATCTCATAAGCAAGTGAAAGCCTGAAGAGAGCCTTCTAAATCAGAGAATAAAGTAGGCGATAAAATGGAAATGGCCAAAGAGAGATATATTTTGAATTATCTTATGAGCCATCCAAGGCAAATAAATGTAATTTATTCACTTACATATCTGATGAATTATTCATTAGATCTACAGCACCAGCAGAGATTTTGGAATTCGTCACCACAAAAATTTGGAAAGTTCACACCAGCGCTATTCCTGCCTCAGAACAGTCTGCCTATTTGAAAGCCAGACAGCACAGGGAAACATTTGTTTATACTGCCCTGAGTGTGCAGGGCTGGAGTGACCAAAGTGTTCAGCAATCAATCTGTCCACAGAATGCAGGCTCATTGCGCTGCAGTAAAATGAATATGGAAATGTTCCTTGAGATAACACCTGTTCCAATGCTCTGTTATATAAATACTAAACACTAACCTGCTGAGTGAAACAGATGCATTACTCTGCTGTGTATTAAAGACAGCCTTAGGCTATTGGGAACAGAAACATAATGAAGAATATCACACATGTATAAGTGAATGACATTGTTTTTTTCAGGGCTTCTTTGGAAAACTCCATACATGTACTGTAATTTAACAGGGAATATAAAGTGCAGGAAACAGCAGCACCGAGGACCGAAGTGATGCATTCATCTACAAAACTGTTGCATAATATCAGAATCCAATTTGTTCCCAGATGGAGGATAGCAATCCTGAAAGAGCCATTGCTATACACACTAGTCCCAGTCTGAGTCTGCAGGGACAGATCCCAGAACATTTTGTCCCATAACTAGAAAATATAACGCTACCAAATAAGCCTGGCAGGGAACAGAGGCTTTTATTTTTAAAATAATCTGGCTTTACGACTTTATTTATTTCCACAAATGTGACAACATTCAATAGTTTGTTTCAATGGTGCACAAAATGGTGTAATACGCTAGCACAAGACATCCGTGTCTAGTGGTCTAGTTCAAGGCTTGTCTTTCGACATAATGAAATTCAATTTTAAACTTGCACTCTGGTGAGTTATTTTTCTCTGGAAAGGAGAAAAACAAACCCGTTCTTGTGTGTTTTGTTGACATATTGACATAAAGTGACATATTTCTTTGTTTTAAAGACAAGGGAAAAAAGTATTGCACAGAACACTAGAGGAGTGGAGGCTCTGAGAACTATTCTGCAGGTTGTGAATAGCATTACAGCTATGTGTTCATTGACAATTTGGTTTACAAATTAGATGGTGGCTGAGCTACTTCCATTTCCTATATCCTTGATCTGGTTTTATATTATCCAAATAACAGGAGAGGGAGAAGGAGCCATCATCATCTTTAATTTGACCAATTATATCAAACAGACAAGACGAAAGCAAGTCCATTACATATCACTGCAAATGTTTTGTGTGTGTGTGTGGGGGACAGAAATTTACATTCGTGTTATCTTATGTTTGAGGAAAAAACAAACGCATAAAAATGTAGGAGCACATTGTCTGCCTTGCTCTGCGCGGTGAGAATACATTTTGCAATACTACACATGGCACGAAACTCATATTAGTTACAAAACATATTGTCATTTCTAATTGCATTTACCTTGAACTACTAAACAGATAAAAAGAAAGAGGCAGATAAGATGTCCATGCAAATATATGTTAAAAAGGAGAGATGCAAAAGATTAATGTGATCTCAATGTCCTTAATCTATAATGGTCACCCCTTGCTATGTGCTGTGTAGATAGCAGAATTGTTGTAAGGCTAACAGAAAATAAGTTCACAGTGTAATATTTTAATTATAATTCAATGATTAATAAAAAAGGCAATTTCCTACTGTATATACAGTATAGCACTTCTTATTCCAACAGATCCCAAAGAATATTTATAATTAATATTGCTTAAAATAACGTTTATTTTAAAACCATCATATACAGTATATTATTACTATTACAAAGAAATCAAACCATGAAATATCAGCACTCCTTATTGCTTAAAATGTATTTTCCTAAAAAAATGTCAACTGCAATTTAAACAAATGTAACTATTGGTATGAGGAAAAAAATAATAATTTGATTAGCCTGTTGGTACAAAATATGTAGAGGGTTTGCTAACATTAAAAAAAGTATATGTGACACAAAGTGCCTTACTCTGTTCACTTCTACTTCACCCCAGGTGCAATATGGTAGCAAATTACAAATGACCCACACATGGTACAGAAGTAAAGACATCACAATGCCTGTTGACACTTTATGATATCATCTGTGACACAGAAAATGGCAATTAAACCCATCACATAGCATTGTAATTCTTAAGGGATAATAGACCATATATTTTAGTGAAATCTTGAATCTCTACCTAAAAAGCCATTCAGTCCCACTGAACTATTTGAACTACTAAAAGCTATGTGCTTTTACCATGACCCTGTGGTCTTAAATCTGCCAAATTAGCATTTGATGGGCATTTTATATAAGGTTTTCAACTCAAATAAAAGACATCAAGCCATTTCCATTTACATAAGACCTTTACGTTGATGTGTTGTAATTTATTTTGTGTCTGCCTTTCTCTTTTCTGCCCTTGCTTTGTATAACAACTTCATCTTTTGGAGGTATGACTCACAGTGCAGTAAGCAAGCGCCAATCCTCTTTGGAATTCAAATTGACTGCAAAAAAGCCAAGCAACTGCTATACCACTCATGTTTCATATAAAACCACCTCTGAGCGATTCACAGACTGGGGGAAGTCATCAATAAACGTCAATGATACTCACTCCTAAATAATCTGACACTAGCTGCAAATAATTAAAAAAGGGAAAAGATCAAGATTTTGCTTTTTTTGATTGTGATTACTTTCTAGACAAGCCCATTTGAATGTTTTGGGAAAACTGTATCGAACAGCACTGAATGAAATTTCCATGTTTTAAAACATTTTTCACAGTCAGTGATTCATCTCAGAGAGGTCCGTACCCAGCATTCATCAAAGCTGTTTCCTGCAGAGAAACGAGAAATATCATCAGCCCTGTGAAAAGATACAGAAATTATTTAACCCTCTAAAGCCCAGCATTCTCCTTGGTAAAAAAACTCATTTTATTGTAAATGCACTGCAAATTAAACAGAATTTTGGGATGATTTAAGGAAACTAGTTTGCATTACAGGAAACTATGTCACTGATCTTCCTTAAGTGAATATTTGACATTTTAGATAAACTAATGAGGTCTTGATAAGAAATTTGTGCTTGTGCTTTGTTCTTTTTATTTCATTCTGAAAATCGCAGAGTGAACCAATCCATTCTCATGATGCATTTAGAGAGATTTTGATTGAATGACACATAATTAATGACATGGGCACAGAGGCACGCTGCCTGAAACGTAATTTCTCTCTCGCCTTCCTTCCTTCATTCTTTCTCCTCCATGGGACTGGCCTGAAAGTTTCTGTACTTTTTTAGGTTGTTCCTCTCTCTATCTTTGTTCAGCCTACCAAGGTTTAGTAAAGACAAAACCTCGCATATAAATTCCCTAAATTAAATTTGTGGTTTGACTTTTCTTTTCAACAACAACAGCTACATTTCCACAACTGATTAGTCTCCTTTTGTTAGCATGTGCTGCATGCTAGAGTTAGCAATTTCTTTCAGCGCTGGAACACTTATCCTGAAGTCAAACGAGTGCTCGTTTCTGCTGGGATTACAACCCACTAGAGCCCCAGACCATTTCTCTTTGAGCAAGAACAAAAAAAACTCACTTGCAGGGATGAAAAATGACAAAAGACCAAGAGTAATGCAGGAACGAAATCTTCAGAGACAGACAGATTCCTTTTAGCCAAGAAAGAAAATCGCAAACAATAACATAACCTGTTCAGAGAATATTTATTTGCCCTGGTTTAAGGCAGCTAAGCAAAATATTTTCAACATAACGGCAGCATTGTATTTACTTGAAATTGCATCCTTGATGTAGAAATATGGAGGAGTTATTAAGGAAAACCTTAAATGACACAAATTCTACAGTGCAGTAGTCATTCATAAAACTGAACTGTCAGGAGGCTAACAATATTTGTGTACACACTAGCTCAGAAAGAAAATCAAACTTTATTACAGCGGTAGTGTTGGAAAGAAAGCAGCAAATCACCCAGGAAACAGCTCCTGAATAGTTAAAGGTTAGCAAATTTATCTTTGAAACAGATGTTTCTTAGAATAGGGAATCAGAAGCACTGTTTGATAAATACAGCAGAAAAGCTGTTATCACTTGTCATTCTAAAGGGTTATTAGTAATTTATTTGGCTGATGCTTTTATTCAAAGCGAAATATATTTATACTTATTTATGCAGGTGGTCATTTAATGGGATCAATTTCAGTGAAGTACTTGGCTTAAGGGTAAAAAAGTTGTATTTGGACCTATAAGCTTACAGTTCAGAGTCTTAGCCAGTCCTTCACACTAAAATGCTTCCTAAACTTAAGCACTGAGCCTGTGAAATTCTCACTCTCTTTAATAAAATGAGCAATTGCAATATGATTTAAAACAGAAAAAAATATGAAAATGCAAGTCTTATTTGGAAAACTACAGTTTTAGTTCACAAGCGTGAAATGGAATGGTGAATTTCGATTTTTTGAAAATTTGGAAAAATATGGCAAAATTCATGTCCAGTGCTTTATCCTTTTCATGTGTGAGCATGATCTAAATTCATGCAACCTATTCCTTAGTATATTTTGAACACTCTATTTATATTTATACAGTAAGCATGACTTGACTACTTGTGGTAACCGAGATAAGAAAACTGGTTCGTAAGAAACACAGTAATTTGATACGTACAGTTTTCTAGACTTATATCTAGGTATGAAAGACATTGTATTTTTCTGTTTTGTGCACTTAAATGGGGGCTTTTCACAAAGAAATCAAAAACACTAGTTTAATTAATTAAACACCTTCGGATGAGATTTCATATAAGGAGAACACCTGAAAACTGATAATACACAGAAGCTATTCCACAGATACCTTAATGAAAATCACTGTGAACAGTAATTTGCAATCAAACTAAATAAAAAAAAGCCTCAATTTGATATCCCATGATCTAAGCAGTATGTACCAATGCTAATGCCCAAAATGTGCTGTGTTTTTGTTGAAGAAGAGTTTATGCATTGGGGGCTTCTGCTTATTTCCCATCTTCACAACAGACATGTTGGTGTCATAATAAAGGTGGCCTGTAAGAGCTCATTCATAGCAGCAATTTTTCAAAATGACAAGATAAATCTGTGAGAAAAACACAATGCATTAAACACAACCCCTGCACTATTTATTTTAAAGTGAGGCTCTCCATTTCAATAATAAAGTTTATCTTTCTGTCTGTGCTGCTGCTAGATTTAATATAGGTTTTTGCCACAGATTCTAGACTATGAAATAGCTATTATTCAGTCAGTCTTGCACTCTAGCGGTTTTGTCAAACCATTCCTTCAAAAAAAACATCTGAAAGTTCTGGTCTATCACTCTTACAAGTAATGCAATATGATTTTGAGAATATTGGCGTTTTTAAAACATACAGCCCAACAGAAAAGACTCAGCAAAAATGATATTTGTAAAAAGCAGAAAATAGCAAAAGACTACTCTTCACCTAATCAGTGATGATTGGTCTATGAATATTGTGCTTCCTGTCTGTAATTATGTCATGTGGAACAATCCTGTGGCATAAATTACGTAAACTTTGACAGCAAAGAAGAAATGCATTATTTAAATAATTTCTGCTTCACTGCTAATACATTATGCATTTCATTTCCTTTAACCAAAGACTCAAAACGACACTTTGAATGATTATGCGGTAACTTCTAAGCATATTGTTCTGTAGAACTTTTCTTTTTGATTTTTTAAAAAACAATTAAAATCTGCTTTCAAATCAGTTTTGTTGACTACTTCCAGCATCAGTTCCTTACTGTTCATACTAAAAAGGCAGCTAGATACGCAAGTGATTACGGATATGATATTTGGAACAGTTTATTGTTGATGTAAAATCAAAGCTCTGTAAACTACCCAAATGATCTCTGCTGTAACCTAAAGTATGGTTTTCATAGACTTTGTCAATGTCTTTGAGAATTCTGAAAACATGAATCAGGTTGCTTCAAAAGCCACGAAAGTTCATGAGAGTCCCTCTTTAAGGATCAGTGGAAAATGGGAAATTTGATCTTTCAGACACAAATGGCCTTTTGTACTCAAAATGAGTGTAATTTGCAGTATACTTTAGCACCATACACCTGTGCAGATACATTCTTATTATTCGGGGTTTCACAGCCAGTGGTTTTTTGGCACAGGAGTAATTACCTGTCTCTATGATCAACTACTTGATTAGTCAGAAGAAACACACAAGATGTCTTTGGAGCGTGTTTCAAAATACCGAGTTCTGCGAGATAGGAAGCCAGGCAGAAATAAGGGAACAAGGACAGGCACAAGCTTAACTATTATTTTTTGCACTCCCACAAAAAAAAAAAAAAACATTTACAAAAGGAGGGTCAGGAAAGTAGTATAAGGCCATTAAATAATAACTTGTTTTTAGTGTCGCTAATAAATTCCATTTTTAATGTTTTATCCTGGGTCAGATGTATAGCGTATACGACAGTGAAACATGAAGCAGGGGACACAAGGGGGAACTCCAAGAGGCGCTTACCACTCTGAAAACAGGAGGTACTTCTTTGGCGGAGTTGTGCGAGTATGAAACACACTACAAAGACGTATTACCCTGAGGTTTTTCAAGAAATGGCTGAATTAATTACCAACTGAGAAGAATAAACAAACATGATATATGGGCTGGGTGGCCTCTCATTTGTAACTGTACATATTTTCTTATGTTTTAACACTGTTAAGTACAGCACTATAAAAAGTCCAACAGTATTCTTAAATTACGACACTTACACAAAGTGCCTTTATTCTCAAGGATATATTGCTAGACAGCCCATCCTTCCAAACTGAGGGGGCAACAAGCAGAAACAGGTTAGGGTTGCCACTGTGAAGCCAACATGACTTTGAAAGATCTGCAAAAGTCTCTGTTTACGATGGGAGTCATATCCCAGTCCCTACACAAAGCTGGCCTGTGTGGGTGAGTGGCAGAAAAGAAGTCATTACTGAAAGAGGTACACCTTATTTACCGTCACTGAAGAAGACTCAAGATAGACTGCACACATGGCTAAAAGCAAATGGCCAGACATGACAAAAACTAAACTATTTTGGTCTAAAGCAAAGTTAATGGTGGTGGCAACATCATGATGGGAGGATGCTTTTCATCAGTAGGGACAGGAAAGGCTTAATTCAGGGAAGGAATAAACCGAAATTCACTGTATTCTCAACATGCAACTTTAACAGCCGCTTATGAAGCACAGGTAACAAAGGCACCTACAAAAATCAGCCACCAACAAGAGAGCTATTTGAATCTTTGATGATGAAAAAATAATCAATGTTTAATATTTTGACACTACCGAACTTTGTTTTCTGTCTTTCCTTTTGGTGCAGAGAATGTATCTGTCTTCGTACAAATACATTACAACATATACATTAAATAAATACATAAATATAATCAAAAAATACATACAAAAAAGGCATGAAATCCCACACAGACAGGTCTTTAAGAAACACTACAATACTCACCATCAGTGCATAAAAAGTATTTCCCATCGCCTCCTCATAAAACTGCTCCTCTCGCTGGTACTCTTCACTGCTGCACCCCTGCTTCCTAATTTTGCGATTCAAGCGCTGTAGCACCAGCTGGGAAATTTCTTTTCCTGGCTTCTTCGACTGTGTTTTCAGGAACTTCTTCTTACTGTGCACAGTCAGAAGGTTATCAATCACCTGTTTGGTACAAAAAGATACTTGACTTGCTAACCCTTGAGTTGCTAACCCTATTACTAGCCACACTCAAAGCATACACTGTTTGCAATAACGCATCTTGTTATTTTTCATTAAGAATTTATAATTACCAAAACTGTTTTTTTTTAAATTGTAATTCTATTTTTTGTTCTGCTGTTGTGACTAAACTATAAAAAGCATGGAGCTGACACTTCTGACTTCACTTATCAGAATTGAATGTTTCATAAATAATTCAGGTATATTCATGGTAGACTTGTATCATAGAAAGCACAGTGTTTTATGAGAATTTTTAATGACACAATACTTTAGGACATTCAGCCTTGATTGCATTCAATAAGACTGTGCTCTCTCATGTTCACATTGACGTTTTAGTATTGATCAGGTCAGACAACTCATCCCACCCCAGATCTTTCTATTTCAGCACTCAGCATGAAAGACCTACAGCTATGAATAGTCCTGGTAAAAGAAAACCTTAAAGCTGTCTGTTTTCAAACAGAGCAGTCAGTTAGGTAACTAGGGAGACAAGCGTGGAAAAAAACTGCAGGTCTCAGCTCCCACTGCACTGAGGGCCTTAGCAAAATTATCTAATACCTGAAAAACAATAAAATGTCTGATAAACTAAGATTATATTTTGCACCCTTTACTTTAAGCGATATTTTTACATTATAACTTATGCGATGGACATAAGCTTACTTATATGTCCAATTTAAATACCCTGCTGACATCTTACATTTTCTTCATTATTATAGAATCCTAATTAAATTTACTGCTCAATCTAAGAATTTAAAATAACCAGAACAATAATGATTAATTGCTCTCTCCTTGCTAAATCTGCACAAACGTTTTCCAGTACATGTAAAAAAAAAATAACACTCATGGATTCAATGAAGGTTTTGCTGTCACGGGCAAGTCACATTTTTTTTTAAAAAAGCAACGGAATTCAAGGTATTACAGAGTATTGAAGGCTTCGTCCTATGTAAAAACACATCAAATCAAAAACAGTGCCATACAGAAAGGAAAGGTGATAGTGAATTTTAACAATTTCATGCATATTTCAACTTTCCACAACAGTCACTTATTCATAATTACTGTATATTACTGAATGCATTTAAGCATTGAGGGGAAATCAAACAGACCCTTTAGGTATGAGGCCTTTTTCTACAGCTGAATATGTTTTCAGTCAGTCAATCATAAAATATCGCAGCTTTGTACAGAAATGTAGACTTCAGGGAAGCATTCTTTACCATATTCCTGGCATCATAATATAAGCTTAATAATGTAATGCTTACTGTAATGCTGTTAGTATAGTTACACATCACATCGTAATAATGTGTGTAAAACATTCACATTTAATGTCTTCTAAAAATACTATATATGCACCATGCAAATGGCTATAATATTGTGTCTTAATTGTTGTAGCACTGCTGAAAGAAACATGTGGTCTGAAATGTTCTCTCTAGCATAACGACAACATCCCAGCAGTGTTTGGTAATGATATTGCAATGTTTTGCGTCAACTGGGTGGCGTTGGAATCATCACAGCCGCAATTTGTGTTTCCCACAAAAAAAAAACAGAGAGCCAGAACTAAAAATGGCACAAGCCGGAGAAAAAATGAGTTCCAGTAAGAACGGCAAGAGCAGCAGATTTCCAAAGTACACGAAGGAAAGAAAAATATAATAAAAAGCATAAGAGGGAGGTAAAATAGAAGAGAAATCCATTAAAATGACATTTAAGAGCAATACCCTTTAAGGAGGCTACCCATATCATCGACTGGTCTCATAAAGATTCCTAATGCCTGCTCTTCAACATCCTTGCATGTGACATTGCTTTATGACTTTATGAGTCATGACAGAGGGGATGGAAGATAGATGTCAGGGATACAGGGCCTACTGCTTTAATCAGTTCCTGTGGATTTTATGGTGAAGTAGAAGTGTCTGTGCATCGGTGCTTACAGGCAAATCATGGCGTTCATCGTCAAAATAGTGTCCATCCCAAACTTCGGCTACCACACTCCCATAGTTTTTCTGCAGCTTCAGTTTCTTGTTTTTCAGGCTGCGTGAGATGGCATCTTTCAAAGGAAGGGATATCACAGCCCCAAGAAATCCCTGGTGAAAAAAAAGACAAATGAGGTACTTTTTATGTAGTTCATTAAGCAGATTTTTATATTTCACACCTCCCCAGAGTTTTTATTAAATGTTATTACAGTACAAGAAGGGCTGTTTTAATTTATATAGTCACAACAGCCCTAGTTAATTTCTTAATTTTAAAGAACTTTGTTCTTTTTAAACAAGAGTGGTGTTAATAATCTCTCTCAATGTCAAAAAAGTACTAAGAGGTCCATATAATAATATATTGTAATAAAACAGGATGTGCATGAAAGGCCTTATTACACAGAACAATCATCAGATAATGTGTCACACAATTTTTATGTTGTGAAGTATTTACATATTGAAAAGCCAGATTACATTCATAAATGGATTGTTTAAATGACAATAATTTAACATCAGTCTTACATCAATAGGAGACAGAAAATACAAGAGGTAATTTAAAAAGACTACATATGTGGCTAAAAGGCTTAAATACACATTGCTTATGTACTGTATATACACTTACTGCTTTCTCTATAGAACTATAATTCTAGGACACCATCCAACAATGACCTGTAAATATCCCAAATCTATTTTTAAAGTAAAACAGAAGTTGAATTACAAACCATAAAAAATGCTTCACATAATTTTGCATTGACTTTGATGTGTGCCAAGATGTTTTGTAAAGCATGTGTTTAAACGTGCAAAACAAACCAACATACAATTCCAAAGGGTGGTTTTCAAGTGAGGTCCTTAAACACTTTTATCGTTGAAAATTAAAAACAAAATCCCTATACATTTGAACTATGAAACTCACTACCATATTTTCAACTTGTTTGCCAAGAACAAAAAGTGTTCAACTAGAAGGTGTGGCCACTGTATTTAATATGTGCAACTGTGTTTTTTTTCTATTTATTTTCATTAACAAGAACACACAACAGGAAAAAAACAGTAACCATAGTTTGTAATTGTTAAAGGTATCCTCTTTAAAAATATTTCAATAAAGAAAAGCAACTGGTATCATTTCTCATGCATACACCAAGTGGCTGTTACTGAAGTTATGGTTTTAAAATTAAAACTTGGCGATATGAAGAAGTAACGTATACCAACAAAAATCCCATTAAAAAAACCCTGGCACAATAACTTAACACCCACATTGCTTCCAGTAGAGTCAGAGTTTGCTCCTACATTTTCATGCCAAGCTTCTTTGCATTACAGGAGCTTGTGCACCTTGGTGCAGATGGCTGCAAGCAAAATTATAGCTACTGGTCAAGGACAGACAGTGTCACCCTCCTAATTAATACCTGATTTGACGATAAGATCAGAAAATGTATTGCTGTCCTACATATGACAGGTCACATGATATTTTAGTAGTCGCAGAAGAGCAGTTAGCTCTTTTATAGCTTAGCAGCTGGCACAGTTTGCTTGTCCATCCCGATAGGTGATCCCACTGTTTACAGTTTTGTCTCGGAATAAAACGGTAGTCTCAAATAAGTGTGTTACCAAACACTTCTCTCCTGATCTGTTGGACAAATGCAACATATCTCACATCAAATATGTGCTCTATTCTTTGTTTTGTACCAAAAAACACATTTAGGCATCTTAAAAGAGGAATTAACATGAATCATATACTTGCAGTGTAACTTAATAGAACACAGTTACTGTTTTTCATTGTTTTGCAATGTAAGCTGAGCAAAAGAAGCACTCACACCATCAGGATTTCCTTGGAAAATGGGCACGTGGTGAATCCCACTCCAGACATAAGGACTGCAGCAAAATAAAAACACAAGAAAACAAAACTAATTCCCTACTGAGGAACAAAAATGCACTTTTTTGGAAACAGCTAGTCAGACAATAAAACACTGCAGATTGCATTTAACAGCATGTTCTAATAAAAGAGACATTACTTACTGTGCAGACAATACTGTATATGTTTTTACCCACTGAGGCTGGATCACTGTCCAAACAAGCACATGAAATGCTGGGACTTCCAAAGAAAAAAAACGTTATAATTGTAGGTGACCTATCAAGAAGATAGCTCTGTTCATTTTATTTGTGCTATTAGCTTATCTTAATCACTTTACTATCTGTTAAAAATAAATATTATAGGAATTTCAATTATGAATATCACTTCTGAATAATCTTCAGTACACTAGCAGTTTAAATGAAAGAGCAGAATAATTCTATTCAGTAAAGATCCTTCTCATTAAAAACATGAACACAATTTAATGTGGTTAGAAAGCTTTCTCATTAAAATAAATTTGAAATATAGAGAAGCTAAACAATTTTCTAGCATAATAGTTACAATTGTAGAGGAATGGCCTATATAATGAAAAGTGAAGGAAAAAAGTTCTAATAACTAAATTACTGTGCATGACCTGGCTCAACTGCATACTCAGAGGAGTGGTTGGTTTATTGAAAAAGACAGTAATGATTTTTACTAAGATGGTTGTGCTATTAAGAAATTTGTTGACTATGCTTTGTCTTCAATGACATATCTTGCAGGCTTTTTCACATATTGTAAAGCTGCAGGCTATGTCCATGGCAGTGCTGGGTTTCTCATCACTTCCTACTGTATATATTGTTTCTATATGGGCCTGGATAAGTCGATTGGATGTCCTGGCTGAGGTTCAGTATGGCACGATTCTTTCTGTTCATCTCAAAGCCAAGAACACCAGACCACTTAAATACATTCATACGGAAAATACACAATTCCATGCTTGTGGATCAAAATGAAGATTACAGCCAACACTTTCTGATGTATCCAGTACATACTGTATTAGATACACACATTTTTGTAAGCATTTTGTAAGCAGTTAGTTCGGTGCTTTTGGAAATATAACAAACATATATGCTTAGCATCTAAATTCTTTTTCTCAGCGATGACTCCCAAATTCTTATCACACATTAGGCATGAAAAATGTGTCTAAACAACAGATAAAAACTCAATCATAGGAGACTGGTATACTGGTCTTGTCTTGTCTATCTTAATCAGCCCACTTTTTGTTTTTGTGTTTCTTTTTGGTGATAGCTTTTTTATATGTATTCTCTTTTCTATACTTTAAACAAAACAATGTTAAATTCAAGTCTTAAAATTGTTAAAGGATTGGTAAAAATAATTATCTTATGAGACTTATATTGCTTTGAACCCTTTTCCCTTTTAGAATCTGTCAATTGACGACTTCAATGTATGGGACAACTTCCATTTTTTATCAAACCACCTCACCTACTGTATATATGTTCTCTCTCTGTGTGGATTTTTTCCTTCTGATTAAACATTAAATGAAAACAGTGAAAGCGATTTTTTACAAAGAATTATGAGCCAGATTTACGGACATTAATGACTCTACAGCAAGTGGGCAATGAAATAATAGTTTTCTCTTCATTTAAAAGGATAGTCTTAAGTGTTCTGTGAAAGACAAGATAGATCTTTTCAATAATTTTTCAATGATTAGTGCAAAATATTTTTGGTACGGCAACATCCACAAAACACTTTATGCTTCCAAAGGATCTGTGGGTTTCCTTTGTGTTCAGACAAAGCTTGTTAATTGCTTTGCAAGTGTAAGACTACACTGTTATTTATATAAAGTATATAACAACGCTCATCCCCCTACCCCTCAAACAGTGGGACCACGGCCCAGCCCAGCTGTGACTTGGAGTCGAGCTTCAGGTGCTCCCCACTGAGGGCACTCACTGTCCCACACCTCTGGCCAGAGGGGTCTGCCCTGTAAACAGCATGGAGAGCGAACAGCTGGACCAGCAGGACTGTGTGGGGATCATTGTATGGGTGTAGAACCTGTGGGAGAATAGAAGAAGGGCAATACATGCATATAGATGTATATGTTCAGGTGGGTAGCTGCGTCAGCATGCGTAGGCTGCAAAGGAACAAGTAACAAGGAACAAGTCACACCTGAAGAAGGCTCCACAGCTGAAACGTTGTGTTCTCTTTCTTCTTTTTTTCAGCATGGAATAAACCTATTACTTGTTCCTATAGATGTATATATCCACTAAACTGTATATGGTGGCTAGCAATTTTCTGCTGGTCGGAATTTCTGCATGTATTTAAACAAAAGCCAGCCATAACATTTCCGGCTACTGGCTTTTGTGAACCACAATAAAATAATGCTTTATTTCTATGGTTTCTAACCACTGCTTGTCTGCAATAACTCATTTAGAAGGAACACAAATGACCATTTTTTCCTGTAGAAACTAAATGTAGTGCTTCCCAAAAAACAATGTGAAGGTAGTGCTTACAACACAATGCTGTCAATTTTCAGAAGAAATATTCTGCTTTACATGCTATATAAATAACAGTACTACACAGATGAAAAACTCTGGCTCAGCTGTTATTAAATATGTTTCTAAAATAAATCCAGAGTTTAAACCTTACTGTAGGAACAAGAAATGGACTTAAAATCATTTTGAGCCCCACAAGACTAAGTAAATAAATACAATTTAATAAAACAATGTGCACGTCCTGTACATTTGCGATGTCAGAAAAGCTTACAAAGGATGGCTTTTAATAGAGCTACACAAGAAACTGCACTTTCATGGGCAAAGTAAAGTCTGCAAGAAGAACACTGATCAGTGCAAATGCATTGAGAAGAAGCATTTCAAGGGGTGTGATCACAGGCTGTTCAATTACAGAACCCTTATACATTCAATTATAGAGAGAATGTATGAGTGCACCATCCCAAACTCAAAGGACAGGGGATATAGGCACAATTCCTTTCAGGCAACTTAGTCACGTGCCCTTGGCCAGGCTTATCATGCATGCTTATTCAGAAGTGAATTCAGAAGGGCTCTGGAGGACTCTACAATCTCATCACAATGAGTATGTGTGCTCATTTTTAAATGGCCATTATCTGTGTGAAGAGTAACGTGGAAAAGCAGAGATTGTCTGATTTAATTGTGACCATATGTTCCAAGGAGTGAGAGAACACTCTACAGGCATCCTACACTCGTCTCACCCAGGCATCTAACAACCTCTTATCATGTTTTTTTTAACAACATACTGTATGAACGCCAAACAGGAGATACAATTCAGTAGGGACTCCTCACATACAGATATACTGCACTCTAAATGAAATTAAAGAGCACATCCCTAACTCCCTTCCTTGAAAATGCAGACTTCTAAAGACTTCCACAGAGATACAGCAAGATGGAACTGCAAGACACACGTCTGTTATTTTCAACTGGGCCATTTCAACATGCTCATTCAGTCAGCTGAGCTCTTGCGCTGGCTCTCAGACAGTACTCTGCACCTTCTGTAGCACCTTGAGACTGGGATCCACAAGACTAAAGGTTTGAATCGCATGTGTAATCACTCCTTATTGTGGGTAGGATTAGGTGGATCAAAAACATCAAAGTAATCTTTTTAAGATTAAAACACAATGATGTGGCTCCAAAGTTGAATTCTATATCCAACTTGTAGGTTCTGAATTTACATATACAGCTATTCTTAAGATTATTAAACCAGGCCCAAGAAACTATTGCGTTGGTTCAAGAATTCATTCTACAAGTGAAGTGTGAAGACACAGCCAGACTACTAATTAAATGCATATTTACGAAAAATAATTACTATTCTGGTGAGTGTCTCTAGTGCTCGTCCTGCTTTCGAGAGTTACAGCATACCTTTAGCTTAAAAAAAAGACCCATTCATTGAACAAAAGGGCTTCACAGACTTAAAAAAGCTTGCTGTGCTGTAGTCTATAATTATTGCATAATGAGCTCTATTTCTTTTCCATTAATTAACTAAAGCAGTATAACAGATTTGTCTCCCACATAACAGACATCAAACGTTACCAGGTAAAAGAGACAAAGCATTCTTCGCACTGTCTTCCTCACAAAGGGGTGACCAAAAAGTACACTGACACGTCACATCTAGTCATGACTCACAAACTGTTTTATACTGCGTAAAAGAACATGAATCATGTTCCAGATAATCATTTTGTAAAAAAAACAAGGAAAAACAACTCTTATCTCACCGAGACATCATCCTGTATGCCTAAAAAGTACAAGGGCTAAATTAATAGGTTAATATTGGTGAGACACAGAACTTAATGAGGGCTAGCAAAAGTCTCAACAAAAAGGAAAAGGAGAAATGAGCATTTCATCAATTCAGCTGAACTTCTGAATCTGTGGATCTGTGGGTTCAAGATAGCTTGAACTATCTCAAGATAGCTTTTCAAGATAGAAAAGATAACTTTTACATCCTTATCATCCTTGCACACTAAAAATAATGATAAATGAAAAAAATGCAAAAATCAATTAATGAACATGAGTTAGACACTACATTTTGCCTTTAAAGAAGTCAAAACTAACTTTAGTGTGAGAAAAATTGGTTTTGAAGATTGCTGCAGTGTACAAGTTCAGATGGCTTCATTGCACTTGAAGATAGTAAGGAATTGCACATCAATTTCGGACTATTCAAAGTAGAAGAAAAAATAATTTAATGTCCTCCCAACCCAAGTGTAATATACCTTCTAGTTTTGCAAACCACAATTAATACTTTTTAAGTGATTATGGAATTAAGACAAAAATATTCACCTGCACACACATTTTAGATGTAGTCTGAAATCATAACAATTTGGAACATTTAGTGATGTTAATGCAGTTGTAATTTTCAGACAGCATGCATGCGCATTGCTATTATATGCTGAAATAATATTTGTCAGGAGGTCTCTTGTTCAACAAGTGTCAGAAATAACCCATGTGCAAATATAAAAACCACACATAGACAGGAGGCTAAATTAGGTTACAGGGAGAAGTGAATGAAATTCGAGTTAAAAAGGCTCGGAGGCAACCCATCAATGTCACCTGTCAGCTGTGTTCCAATTACAAACAGGGCTAAGCAATGAGAAAATCAATTAAGACCTGAACCGGAGAGCAACGAACCTTGTTTCATAATTTACTCAGATTTGCAGGGACTTTTAATTCAATTACGGCAATAACTAAGGATAAGTTTAAAGTGCGATTAAGTAATAGAAAAAGAAACCCTATAATGATGAAGGGTTAGGTATACCCACTGCGGATTGGTCAGTCCACCGGGGGCACCGCTGAAGACTGGTGAAATCACGGCGCAAAGTCACAAACTTCTCTTCACCCCCCCAGCCCTGCGGCAGCTCAGCAAGGTGCAAACTTTCTGCTCCCTTCAGGATTCTGGCAAAAGCATTGACATAGAGGCCACCGGCTGACAGGACAGAGATAACATGAAGACAATATTATCAAGACACTGATCTCCTCATTTATCATTGATTCCTGTTGAGACAACGCAGCTACTGTATTAAAAAAAACATTGTATCCGATTTTGGATTCACAATGTACAGTTGTACTTTGCAAAGGTGTCAATGAACATACTACACATTTTTTTAACAGCATAGACTAAGAGAGAAAACAGATCCAGCTAGAGCACAAGGCAAACTGAATAGAAGATTTTTTAATGATTAAACATGTGCACCCATACTAAATGAAAATATTTGCAGAATAACTAGAAGATTTTTCCAGGAAAGACCAAAGTATGTTAATGTACTGTATTACTGCTTCAAAATTAACAAATCATTTTTTTTAAATAATGAGATGAAATTACTGTATATACAAAGTTATCCTACAATTTAAGAAAGAACACAAATGCATATACAACCAAACTACATTGAGAACAAAATTAGAAAGCTGTGCACAACTGCTCACAACATGAATCATAGAAAAGCACCATTAAAAAAACAGTGGTGTATTTGGTGTAAATATCAAAAAAGTATTTCTTTCCAAATCTTATTATTTTAGTGGATAAGCAAGGCCAAAAGCAGTCAGTGCACAAAACCAGTGAAGAAAGATAAATACCTCCAGGGTTCAAAATAAATTTGAAAACCTAATTTATTTTGGCCTTGCCTGTGGAGAGTCTTTTGTGTATCATGCCCATGGGAGTGAAGCTGCCTCCCTAAAGTGTAAAAAGACGCTGCCTCTTGATGAGTAAGCATGTTTTTAAATACAAACTGAAAAGACTCCTTCTCTTGATTGTGAGGGTGTTTGCTGGATATTTATATTAATGTGCTTTCATGATATTACACTGTGTACTTTCAATTGAGTCTCTCTTATCTTTCCTGTTCTGCGAGATGGTGTGAGTATAATATTTTATTTACACTGTCACTGCCTGCCAGGACACCCTTCCAAGTCTCAGTTTCATCTTCTATGCAGTACATGCTTTCAATAGAATTTTAAATGACTTAAACCGGTTACATACTCATTACAGTTCTTAGCATCAATCAGTACAGAGATTTGACAGAAAAATATTCGACAAAAAATTGCGGCAAATTTCTGAGTGCCAAATTAAGAAAATACAAACCATCTGTATTTAAGTGGTGCTGTGGCACTTTGTATCATTTTCCCTGGGCTCAGACATCAATGAAAACATCTATGCATAAAATCTGTGCATGAAAAAGCAGGCAGGTGCAATGCTATGCAAAATTGAAGGGTTATTTGTATCTAGCAGGGTGCACCTTATTAAATGAAAAATTACGCTCTTGCTAGGGACATATTAGAGAGCTTGGGGTGCGGTGCTAAAATTAGATACAAGCACTTAGAAAAATAAATAAGAGGGATTAAAAATTAAATTTTTAATATTAGAAAAATTCAGGGCAAGCAATGTGTTGCATTCTAATTCCAGTTAGGAATGACAGTGAAATGTATCTAAACTGGATGATTGGATTTGGACTCTGAAGAAGACGAAGAAAACAACAAATAATATCAGTCTATTTTTACTCCACAAATAATTACAGTAATAAATAATTTACTGGCAAAACAGGCCAGGTAACCAACTTATTGATAACTAAATGACAAATCGAGTGACATTAGGTAGTAACCATTTAATTCCCAGACAGACAGGTAGTCTTTGGCAAGGGTAGGAAAGAAGCTGAGGTGAAAGACTCCCTTTTTACCATTCATATTCGGCATTTTTGGAATCCCTCCATGTCAAAAATCTAATCACATTCCCCTGGGTCATGTTACTATCCAGATCTACTAAAGGAACGTTGTTGCTAATTGTCTGTGATTCAAGAACACCAAAATATCACTTTAAATCTGGAAAGACTATCGGGGGCAAAATATCAGGATGGGGACCTGATACAAGTATTTAAAACCCTCTTAAGGCAAAGTCAACCCCATGGGCGTCTTCAGAATCAAGAGTGAAGCACAAATCTGAGGACACAGGTGAAAGGTGTTGGCAAGTAAATTTAGTGAGCATGAAAAGGAGTTTTTTTTTTTTACACAGAGGGCTGTAAAAGTCCGGAACAAGCTATGCTGTCAAAACTGATTGCCGGATTTCTTGCAAGAAACAGCTGGCTGGGAACCTCAAAACAAGTAGCTGGCTTACAGGAAACAAGCAAGGTGGGTCAAAAGGCCTCCTCTCTTCAGTAACCTTCCTTATGTTCTTATGGGATTAATCACATCTCAGAAAAAGTGAAACGAAGGATGACAGTTAAAGAAAATGCCTACAAATGCACAAGGAAAATGTTCAGATTATTCGTGTTTTAATAGTGCAGAAACGATAGGCTGCAAATAGTTTAAAAACAAGTGTTTCCCCTTTAACAATATAATAGATGTGGAAACCAATAAAGCAGATTTCATTAGAATGCTTGAAATGTTACATACCAGGCAGCCCGAACGCCTGTGTGATGCGAATACGGATGCCAGCTTGCTGGTGATAGCGCACCATATGGTGTATACTAAGGTGAGCGGGGGGGGTCTGAGGTGGTAGCTGCTTTCGGGCATCCAGTCTCTCCTCGTACCAGGCCAGCCACAGCTCAGGTGGAACTGAAGCGCCAGAACAGAGAGGAAGAAAAGCACAGCCGACATGATGAATAAATTTAGACGGCACGTCACATCACTGTATGCTGCCCGTCATGGTCTCCCGAGCCCCACTGCTGAACATCGGGATAATTTGCTGCAGTAATTAAACAAAACAGATCACAACAGTGACTAATCAGATGCGGTCTCACCGAGTGCATCAGTACAATTGAAGAAAAAAAATGATTTAATGGACAAAGCGAAAACTTCTGCGAAGATGACAAAACATCTTTTGACAGTGCGTGACAAAACAATGCTTCCAGTATTCTGCAATAAAAAACGATTTATTGTTATTGTTCTTTATTATTATCGTTCCCGGTGTTGCAAGCAATAATTATTGGTGTTGGATAACTAGCAACAATAGTTTAAACAGCAGCAGTATTGATTCCTAAAATTTAGAACATGATTATTTAGTAACATTTATTCAGGTGACATTAAGGAATAAATGTTGACAGGTGACAAAAGGAATACATTTTTTTGAAAAATAATAATGTTTTTCTATACACGATTGAGATCATGTTCATATCTATTAAAAAGGTCAATTGTATGTTACCTCAGACAACTGCCTATTAGCAGCGTTAGTTAAAAAATAAGATGTATGAAACCAGCTTCCATTTGTACCATTCCATGAACACAGGTAATCAGCTACATTCCCCACATGTTCTTTACCATTAGCGTGTTCTTTGTTTTCCAGCTGTTGCATCATTTCCTTGACAGTTTTTGGGAAGTCTCTGTTCCTCTGGAATGTGGCGATAATGCCCAGCTCTGATTTATTGGGCTTGGCTCGGTCTGTGAGGTAGAAGCCACTCAGATAGCTTGGAGTGGGTTTTAAATCCTAAAGGGAAGGAGAGTTGAACAGATATTGAGATACACCATTTAGTTTTATGTTGCGGACTGTCATTGCAGTGGTTGGTTAGCCCTTGCTCGAGGAGAAATTTCTGAAACAGAAACGAGGGAAGGGCAAAACCACTAAGCTTGTGTGGAGAGATATGACTAAAAGCTCCCTTACTGCGAGAAAAAAACCAACGGTGGTTTACCATACAGTATTAGGTTCAATACATTAAAACTGCTTATCCTGCTGAGGGCCGGGGCAAGCCAGAGCTTACTGTGTAAGCACAGGGGGGAAACTGGGTCCATATCTGTTCTTCCCCTGGATGTGATGACAGCCTATTGCTGGGCTTTCGAGAAAGGGAAATGTATAATTGCCGATCGCGTCTTTGGGGGTTGGGAGTCAACTTGTACGCTTGGAAAAATGTGGAGAACATGCACAATCCACATAGACAGATACCCAAGGCCATGAATTGAATCCAGGATCCTGAGGTTTAGTTATTAAGCTGTGTACATTAAATGCGCAGTTACAAAACACTGGCGTGTACCGTGTAGATTGAAAATTCCATCCATTGTTCTCCAGATGCATGGCAACATTAATCATCTATTAGAAACTAATGCAACAGCATAAACAAATTGTGGTTTATAAATGTGACACATGTAGCATATCTGAAGTACTTTATTAAAGTGATCACAGAGTTATCAAAGAGACACAAAATATGGATCTCATCAACTAGAAAGAAGCTTGTGACCTAGTGAGCTGACTTTGAATTGGCAGCAATTTACAGAGGTCAGAACAGAATGATTTTTTTCACCTTGATGCACAGAGGATTTAAAGCATGTTTTCCACAAAGCACATTAATCAACTGCACACAACCTTCTTCTGCCTAACACTGCTTATTAGAATTACTGTCTCAGATGCAAACGCCTTTATTTTATTGCTCAGATCATTTTTTCTCAGGGGTGCATGAAACATATGCAATAACGTCTCTGCCCTTAAAGCTGCATTAAACACTAAGGTAAAATTATTAAGAAACTTCATTATGAGAATGTTTGCTCTCGTTCAGAGTAATAGTCCTGAAGGGCAGAAGGGCCTAATGGAAAAAAGAAATCCACCAGTTATCACACAAATATTCTGTAATTACTAATTGAATAGTATTTTAAGTTATAAATTAAAATTAAAGATTTAATTTCACACCATCTTTATCCTAAGTATTTCCATGTATAACAGATACGATTGTGTCGAAAACATACTTAGCCACAATGTAATGGTGTATTACCATCTGCAGACTGCAAGGTTAGTGCAAATATACTACTCTTTTGCTGTCCAAACCTTTTCTGTCCTTAGTATTAATATAAAGTATACAAATCTTATGCTAACTACATGTTGTTCCAAAATGGAATTCCTTAAAACTGCACCAAAAACCTGGAAAATGGATTTATGGTGGCCTATGAGATTCCTTGGCAAAAGTGCAACATTCCTGGATTGCATGAGCAAGCCTTGCTCCAGTGGGAAAACTCCTCATTTTGTTTTCATAAACTCCTGCTGATTGTAAATGTGTTTTCATAAAGTGCCATCTGCTGGACATTATAATCCCTTTGTAGGAAAAGAACATATTCCACAACATGTAGAGGTTATTTCCATTCTGAAACGTTTATGACTATGACACGCATTGATTTGCAGCAGGGAATTAATCTTTACTTAGCCAGTGCTGGCGATGCAGTTCCTCACTCAATCCTATCCCATGACAGCTCTTTTCTGTTTTGAACTGGTATGATTTTCCACATTCACTCATTCATAATTCTGCCTTCAATAGGTAATCTGTCACTTGATTTAAAGGAAAAACTCTCATGTATCTCAGAATTTTATCATATAAAAATTATATATATTACATATATAATAAGATTATATGTCAAGTGCTATCTTTTGCTCAGCATTTTTTTTTTTTTTACTGCTCTTGAGTCATATAGTGTGTTTTTTCTTTTTAGGGATAGAAAGACAGTTTACAAATGCAAGCCTGTTGTTAGGGATTGCAGATGCCAAAACTCGTCCTTGAAGCACAGGAATCAGCTTCAAGTGTGTCCATCCTCCCACAGACTACTTACAGCGGTTACTTACGGGCATGTGTGGTAAAATGCGGATTAGGAGCGTGCAGCAGGGAATTACAGGCTGGTGACTGAGGGATGCTTCTGTCAAGGGGATCTGGTCTTTCGGCGGCATCCCCCCATGCAATCGGAGTTGGTGTCCTCCCACATTCAATTGCTCTTGGTCATTAAAAACACGGATGATGCAGTTCCCTGAATAAAATTCCAAAAATAAAATAATCCTGATCATTAAGAATCACCTTGGATAAGAAATGTTTTTTTTTTAAATTAACTGTGGTATTCCAAAGTACATAACTCCACATCTTTTTAGTGTAAACTGGTGAAGACTTAACCACAGAAGACGGGTGTAATTCTCAACACCCACAGCCCTTGAACTGGATACCTGATCAGGCCCGTCATTCATAGGAGACGTTAATGAACCAAATTCCAAACTGTCATACAAACCTATGACACACAGCTCTCCGGTGTCTGAGCTCACAGTGTAGACCCGCAGCAACAGCAGCATGTGACGATCAAATGGCTTTTTGTTACTTGGATTCACTGTCATGCGAAAGTTAAACTCTGGGCTTCTCGCCGGGGAGCTGAGATCCGGAAGAGCCGAAATGTCAGGCAAGTCTTCTTGACCTGATTGCAGGATTCTCCCAGTGACCTTAAGCATACAGGGTAAGTTAAAAACATGTTGTACTTAAAAGCACACAACATGTCTAGATGAAGGTACAAAGTCATTTTTACTGCTCATTTGCAATGGTACAGTAAACTAAACCAGATCCTTGTCCAACCAAGACGTTATATACAGTAAAACATTGGCTATTTAACAGTGAAGGAGCTGGCAGTTCTGCTGTTAAGGAAAGCCAATCTGTAGATACGCTTACCTTTACAATAGTTGCGTTGTCTGGAATATACTGTACTGAATCAATGTAGAGGTCTAAGGGCTGGTAGACTGAGGACTGGTGTGGAACAGCCAATGAAGCATTGTGGGTCACCCAGGGAGGGTACAGGAAACGAGGTTCCTCTGGTGGAAGAGTGGTACTGAACAAGAAACACTTGGCATGTGTCACATTGTAATTAAACTTTTTTTGAACACATTAAAAAGTCTCAATACGCCATTGTCCACACAGGGCCATATTTAGAAAATGAAGCATCGCGTTTAGCTTGAAACACCCTTTCTGAAAAGGGAAAAAATAATAATTTTGTATATAAGGGAATATTTAATTTTTAAATATTTTTCAGATTAGTTTGCTAAATATTTATGACTCTTCCCAACTTCTTGATGTTCAGTTCTCACTTCTCAGGTGCCAACGCAGTAGGGCAGTAAAAGTTTTATGTACACAGCCCACAGCATCACAACCTTGGACCTGATCCGGCTCAGCATTGCCAGAAAATTTCTGGAATGTACTAAAGAAAACCTTTTTAAAAGTGTGGTGTTCAAATCCAATTCAAAGCACTTGGAATATCACAAAATTAAAAAAGCCTGACATTGATGGAAAAATGTACTCTCGTTATTTTAAAGTAAAAACAAAAGGATTTTTTCATTACCTTAAAATGTTGATTTTCACAAAGTACACAGCTGTGGCTGCATTTTTAAACTTTACATCTTTGTACTGAACTTAATAACTCCCTCTGTGCAAGCCAATAAGACAGTCAACAAGCTATTTTATTAAACAGAGGACACATTAAATCTCACTCTCTCATACCTAGTTAGCCTTTTACTGTAAAATAAGAGCTGTATTAATGTAATCAGCTCTTCGCCAACTGGAGTTTTTCCAAATTCTTGCGTTTATAAACTAGTGCAATTTAAAAAAAATTATATGGAGTATTACTATCAGTCATTGCCCTTTTGTCTCTTGACTACATAAACAATGCCAACCTAATCTACAAAGTCCCTAGGTTGCCAAACACTATTAAGCACAAGCATGCCTGACGTCCAGGCGAGGACTAAGCTGATTGCTCTCACGAGTCTGTGTCTGTGCATGGATATTGTTATTGACGTTGGCAATAAGGAGACTTTGCATTTTCATATCTGAACAATAAAATGAATAAATGATTAACAAAAACAGTTTATTGTCACTTTTGATCATAAAAGTTGGCAAATGGTTATGGTTGTAAATTTACTGAATATTTTCTAAGGGATATAAAGGGATATTGACTTTCCCCCAAGATCCTACTGTACTCCTATGATGCCATGTTTATCTGAAGAAGCCAAAGGTTTAACTGTGAAAAGCAAGGATATTTAAAAAGAAATATTTCAGGTTTTCAGAAAACTGTTCTTTAATAATGCTTTGTAAATTATAGGGCTTAGAGAGAAGGTTCAGTACAAATGTCTCTAAAAGCTGTGCAGTCAGGGTTTTATTTCCATCATATTTTATCACATGATTATACCTTTCCACTAAATTATCTTTTCACAGCTACAAGCGGAAACCTACTTCCAGTCTCAGATCAGTTCTTTCTTTTGGCACTTACCTCTGCAGTTCAGCATGACTGGCTCCTCGCCTGGGGCTCTCTTTAGAGGGATCGAAGACTGTGACCTGGATATTTGATCCTTTCTGTAGAGGCTCTGTAGAAACAAACAGCTCACTCTCTACATAACCTTGCTGCTACCGTTGCTTAAGGTTTCCAAAACAATTAACTCACCAATCTCTCTGCTGCTATTTTAGAAAACAACTCTTCAAGCATAGCTACTGACAGTTCTCTCAGCAGCCATAAAACCAAGGCATGTACTACTGACATGACTACTTTGGGGTAAAGAGCTAAAAGAGACAACTGACAAAGCAATAGTTCTCAGAAAGAGAGATTCTCAGAAGCAATATCAGGCCACTGCACTCTGCATCTGTTCTCTGGCTATACAGCGAGCTCATTCCATTCATTTCCAACAGATCATGGTTTAATTTTGTGCACCTCCACTAATTTAGGCTTGCCATAGTACAGTGGGAAAATTTTTCCTCAATCAATATTCAAGGTTTTTTTTCTTCCTGTCTTTTAGTTTTTTATTTTTCTTTGCAGTCTATCCTGACCTTTAGCTTCATTCGCCCATATATGTGTTCTGTTGGAGCAAAAAATCTACTTTAAAAAAAAATGTGATCCATCATTTGTGATTCAGCTAAATGGGTTGCCACAGGAAGAAAGTGAATACATTTGCTTTGATAGGTCTCTCTTAAACTACAACACCATTGACATTTCTGCAGAAAAATAACAGAATTGAACTCCAGCAGGGAACTTAAAACACTAGGCTAACACTAGAAAAAAAAACAGAATACGCTAGAAACTATTCACAGAGTAAAGAATTCTGTTTAAGCAACTCCAATGTAGGAGAACAATTGTGGGTTAAATCTTGGTTAGCAATAGATTAGCAATCCTTTTGTTTAAAGGAATATTATTAGAAAAAAACAGATGGAGAAAGATATTTTAAGGACAATACTTCTGTTTTGCTGAGTTTTATACACTTTGCATTATGGGCTTTGCAACTAACGATATTAGACATACAAATCACTTAAACACTTCTTTACAGTGAAAGCACTGTTTTCAAATAAATGCGTTATAAAAAATAACACATAGTTTCCACTATACTTAATTGCTGAGTTCCAATCATACAGTTTAAATCACACTGCACCTTCTAAATTGTGGGTTGAAGTGTGGTTTGTCAAGAGCTCAGGATCAGCGCCAGTGCACAGTTTGAGATGTGCTGTGAACACACTGGGGGTCCACTGTGTCTGAGGTCCAGATTTCTCTTCATGAAACAGATCAGCTTTCACCCAACCCAATGTCACAGGAGCAGAGCCTATAAACCACAGAGTCACTGTATTTTAGCAAAAAATTAAAGCTGCTTGTCTTTACAGTAGGCATATACAGCATATACAACGAAATGGGCATTCTTAAACATTAAACGGTTAAGCAAATAATTTACCAACAAGCACAACCAACAGTACCATTACCGTACAAGTATATAACACAAAACTTAAAACTTAAAAAATCTATTATCTTTTTTATTTTTGTTTGGTAATCAATAAGATAGGATAAAAAAAATATATCAATATACATTTTCTAAGGAAGTAAATCCAAGCAAAATGTCTGTTAAAGTTTAAATTACACAAGCTGTCAAGCAAAAGGAACCTTACCATACAAATTTGGGACATAAATAACCTTGATGACAACAGCAGGTTTGTCCTTCAAATAACTGATTTCTCTGATATCAGATGGGTCCAGGGCATCAAAGATAAAGATATCTCAAGAGAAGAGGAAAGCAATATACAGTCAATATTACCCTAAAAGGACACTCTTACTGCATTTATGTACAGGGATGCATGTGATTTGTAGTACAGACATGCTGCACAGTGTAGAATCCGAGTAAATTCTAAAAGAACATAATCGTTTTAATTCTGATTCGCTACACAAAGCACAATTGCTACACACTTGTCAAAAGTAAACCTTCAATCAACTGGGAATATGTAACGTTAGAAACAACATAAAATCCACAAGGTAATAAGCTGGAGAATGTAATGCCATACTGTACCATTGAAGAGGAGTTTGTATTCAGTGGTGGTTTCTTTGTTGGGTGCTCTTTTCTCAACAGATGGCGTTAGGAGACTGGATTTGGAATGTAGCTTCACATTTCCATAAAGCACTGAAGTGATAAGTTTGACAGCAAGGGGATCAAAGTCCTTCATCCAGGCCTACAAAGACAAAAACAAAATAGCCATCTCACTATCAAGTTGACCATGCGGGCAAAAATGCAATAAAAAGCAAAGGCATCTGATTACATATTTTCATCCTGGGGCAAAAAACCTTCAATGGCCTGAGAATTTACATGGAAAGACTGCCATGATAACAATAAACTGTCTAAAATTTAAAAAATCAAGGCAATTTTGATCTAGTGTGTACTATAGCTGACAGAATTTACTATAGATCATATGATCCTCATAAAAAACTATTTCACAAAGGACTAATGTCTTGTGTAATTCATATACTCTATGTACACATAAAGACACTAACCGAGCAATGATTTAGAATGTTTACCGTAGTTTCTTATATTATCTCGGACTACACTAGAAAGAGATTAACTTGAGGAATTGCTCACATGATTCAAGCTGTCCGTTTTTGGCAGATTCAAAATCAAGTTGACAACAACATCCTTCAGCCCAATTGGGAGAATATCACCCATGGAGATTTGAGCTAAACATTCAAACAAATTCACATTGATTAAACAAAGACACCCTTCAAGTTTGCAGCACTTTGATTCAACATTTATATGACAAATTAATCATAGGGGTTGTCAGTAAAATGTGAAGATTTATGGAACAGCCACATTTTTATCACCGGTGTTTGAAAACTTGAAGTACTAATTCAAGCAATCCTCGATCGATCATTATTTTTGAGCAGACCTAAGTGGAGCACTTCAAGAGAACAAACACAGGTGAAAATTACATCATAAACATCATAAAGCAATGAACAGACTAGGACCTGCTCAGGGTTCTGTTTACAATGTTATTTTAAACTAAAAAGAGATCTGTGCAAAACTGGAAACGTATAAATTCTAGGAAGAAAATGGTAACTCAGATATAAAGGAAAAGCCGGCTATTATAAGCCTACTGTACCATTTGCAGCTGTCTTCTTTGGAAATGGTCCATAGAGCAATCTTGGAAATAAAGAACACATTTTCCTTTGGAGATTTATATTCTGACATAAATTTTCTCTGATATATATTTCTGCTGTGGTTTACATGCAAACACAAAAATAATACAGAGATGTAGCATACAGGCTTAGTCGTAAGAATTGCCACCCTTTATCTTAATCGTATCAATTTATTAGAACAATTAGCAATTAGTTGTTCAACCAACAAATGAAGAGATCCCAACAGCAAAATATGACGTTGAAGAAATATATTATTCTGAATAAATTAGGAAATTACTGTTTCAAATACAGGCTACCTACTGTATACTTATGCCTGCGAAAGTATAAGTAAGTCTAAAAGAGTTTTCTTTATTAGTGATCTTACCTTGAATTGAATCTATTTAACTCAGGGATATCCACTGGTAGGCCTCCCTGTTGCAGGTGCATCCATGACCGCTGAATGTCTGCTGTGAACAGATGGCTAGCATGGTCCAGCAACACCTGAGCATGAGGCACAGTAATAGCTTTTTCTGAGAAGACTCAATCCTGAGTTGCTTTCTGTGGGTTTGTTGAGTATACAAAATAATTGTGTAAAAAGAACCCTAATCTATCGAGTGCCTTTGGTTTGGACACATGGGACTGTATAGTACAACTAGTATAACCAGCAGAATCATGAATTTTTCTGGCACATGAGGTGAGAGAGTGGGGTTGAGAATGACTGGAATGGCAATTCTGAATACTGTACCTCTCTCATACTCTGGTAGTCATCAGCTGCCATCAGTGGGTCTTTGAGCAACATCAGCACTACAAGGCAGACATCTTCCATCACTTTCCTGCTCCAGTTTTCCATGAACAGCTGATCCCAGACCAGCAGGACAGCAGGCAAGTCTAGAACACTCATGAATCCCTGTGAAAAATGACATAAAAACCAATGAGCCTAATGGGTCAAATAGCCACCTCTTGTCTGCAGGCTTTCTTATGCTCTGAAAAGTACAAAGCACCAGGTACAGGTATGCTATAAAGATACCAGTGGAACAATTCTTCATGTTCTCAGATGACTAAATATACAATCTTACAATATAGCTTAAACAATATGTGTCTCATATTATATCAATATGTGTTTATTAAATGTTAAAACTACTGGACTAACAGTAGCCTGGTAACTGTTACTGTAACTAACACTGCAAGGGATTGTATTCTGAATCTACCAAAAACAGGACAGGTCCTGGACTCTAGGTCTAAAGTAAATGAAGACAATTAATATATTTCAGTGATCAAAGTAAGGGTCGACAGTAAATACAAATATACATATAAATCATATTTATGCCTTTATACTATATTAACTGTTTGCTTTCCAAAAGGGTGGTGCAGGACATTCAAGTACGGTTCAGTTTAAATCTGTGCTTTCTTCACTCATACTGCAGCACACAGGTCACGCAAAGCTGTGCAATTACAGTTAAATGGTCTTACTTCGCCCATCCATTTACGGAGGAAGATAACAGGATTTGCCAGGAGCTTTTTGGAGATAACCTGTGGTCTGTCTGATCTGTCTGAGAAATCCAAAAGCTCCTGGGCCTTTTCCCTCTCTTGAGCTATGAGTTCCACCAAAAAATCCTGAGAAAAATAAACAAAAACTGAATGATTCTCTTCTTTAAGTGGACTCCATAAATCAATAAGTAACATAGAAGAGTCTCTCATATTTGTCAGAAATATATATTGATGCTGTGTGTTTTAGAAGTAAAATGTTATGCAATTAAACCTTTCAAGTGATAAACATGACACTTTTTTTGTGAAATTGTACTAAATATCCAGTGCTTGCAAAGTTACAAAGTTTTTTCAGACCTTAGAATCTAAAACCATGTTTCTAGATGAACAGAGCTGAAGGTGAGCAAAGAGTTCTGGATCATTTTCTTCAACATGCCTCATCACATTCTCAGCCATTGCAAAAATCTCTGGCCAGCAAGGAAACTTTTGAATAAGACAATGAAGGTACATGGACAACTCGTACAAGTGTTCAGCTAAAAAAAAAAATAGAAAAATAGAAATCATTTTATAAATATCCATGCAAAATCATTTTATACATATCCATGTATTTACTTGGAACACTTTGCTTAAACTTAGAGCAGAAGAAGGGATGATATAGTAATTAAAAAAATTATCTTGCATATCTCTTGCATAAACATATATCAGTGTTTTTTTCTCCTACTTGGATAAAAACAAATTGCAGTGGTGCAGTTTCAATGCATGAAGGTTTGGATTCTGAAGGAGATTTGAGATTAAACGCCTTGCTATCATTTAATTAAATATGTGGCATCATCAAGACGAACACATGAACGTGAGAGTGAGGTAGACAGCGTTACACTATTCATACCTTTGGAATCTGTCTGTCGGAAAGCCATTTGCAAGGGAAAGAGCCAGTGGATAAGATAAGGCTCATAAATCCCGCTGTGGACATACAGGATGTTGAGCACTTTACTGGATTCACTGATCATTTGTTCATTGGTAGCAAAAGCTTGCATAGAGGGAGTCCTTTCATATTTCTGTAAAGATGAATAATAGCATAAGATATTTAGAAGCATGAGCAAACTCCTTGCTGCACAGTAAGCATTAAAGACATCCAAACCATCTTAACATACATTGACATGAAATATTTTCTCTAACTCTGTTTTCTGTTCTTCATTTCACTTTTATTTTTTGGTTTGTATTTAACTTGGTCACATTTGAGCCAGTATTTCATAATTGTTTTATTATTTTGTCTTGTAACTTTTATTTGAGTTCCCAATTAGAGGCTTCTGGTGCCGTTTTTACCCTCAGCCGCTCGCCACCTTTATTAAATTCTCTTTATTCATCTGCATTATTGGGCTTTGTTTCAAAACAGTCAAATTAATATTCACTTTAAAAATCTGGCACACATAGCTTTTAGCGCAGCATATTTCCAAATGCTAACTGTTAATTAGTAAAATCACACTGCATATTGTAAGTTATCATGATAGGTGTATTTAACTAGGTCTTTATTTTCAATTCCAGCCCCTCACATACAATTAGAGGTTACCAAAACACATGATCCTAAACACCTCTGCTGAATTCTATTACAACCCAGGAATAATGGGTGAAGAGTAATGAAATGCTCTGTGGGAGAGCTTAGCCAGCCAGCAAGATAGTGTGGAACAGACATGGATAGTGGTGTTTCCATGTAAACATGAGCTTTGATAAGGCACAATGAAGGAGAGGCTGCATGTGACAGCAGAGCCTGGGTTACAGCTGTAGTCATGGTATGGTCAGTCCATTTCCTTGAAAAGTTTAATAAACCACACACTTGAACAGCACTACACGTGTAGAGACCCTTAAAACAGAAAGCATATCCTGTGCAAGGTATCTCAAAGTCACAAATCTCAACGTTCCACTTTCTGATGTTTCACACTAAACTAAACAGAAATAATTACATCTTATCAGTTGATTCTTTTAAGAGTTAGTTCTTATCACATGCATTTATTGTCATCTTTCTCCTTTCTTTAAGAGTGAATTGCTACTGACACTAGGAATTGAAACACCTACAATAACTGAGGGTAACAGTCGAGTTCTAAATGTCAGATAGAAGAGGCTCATTAGATGAAATGCATCATTCTGTGGTGCAGAAATAAGAGCCTGGGTAAGCGTGTGTGTCCTCCATGGGTTTGTGATACTAAAGGCTACAACATTACAACAACAAAAATAAGAAATACATAAAATAAAGAGGTCCCCAAAAGTTGGGAGGACAAAGTTGGGAGGTGGGTTAGAATTACAAAAAAAAAAGAAAAAAAAGCTACAAAATGTTTAGGTGTAAAGAATATAAACCTGACTTGTGAATGTCTTAACTCTGATCGGACCAAACAAAGCGGCTACACGCGGCTAGAAAGAAATTAAGGATGAAAATGAAACACAGAGGATTTTTTTCTTTCAGTTTCTGACGCTAAGAACGCTCATCACCTCCACTACCGCATTTTCAATCAGCCCAGAGATGGGAGATCGAGTAGCACTTCTCAGTTTCAGCTCGGCTACCCGGCGTTCCACCATCCGGCCAAATTTCTCTCTGAGAGTTTTCTCAAAAGTCCTGAAAGAAGAATATTGAAATCTGGAGAATTAAGACATCTCTCTTAAGGCACCTCAAGATGGGACATTACTGTGATTAAGCTAACGGGACAAAATTTGAGATCTGGAGGATTATACCTTAACAGCTCTTGTGGTTCACAATGTAATTCAAAGAACATGCTTGAATAAAATAGCGCTGATATACGTTATACTGTATACATTATATATAAGGTAAAATAGGGAAAATAGGAATTGTTTAAACATATAAACAAGCAATTTACGTTAGCAGAGAAAACAGCTCTAGTTAGATTAAAATAATTACTTTGTGAACAAAGTCTTGATGAATAATGAAACTCTCTCATTGGTTATTGCTGGATGCAATATTGTCTCTTAGCAAAAAAAAGTCTACCCAACGAAATGCCTTTCACAGAATAGCTTTTCAAACAAATATGGAAAAATAGTCCACTACAAAAAACCCTTTCCAAGAGCCAAACTTCCTTATTCCCCCACAAAATATAAATATCTGTTATAAATATTATAGTGTTCTGTTAATTAGCCAGAATATAAAAAGGAAACAAATCTCGCATTGTGAAAAAGGCAGAGCACAGACACACACAAATATCCTAAAGTCTTCTATTATAAGAGTCTGAATCAGCAACTCTAATTAACTCCTGTTACAATCTGGAAAAAGCTAAATTAAATATCAGGGTTTGTATTATCATGCTTGAAACCTCCTTATCACATACCAGTATTTTATGTAATATTTTAAGAAGAAACATGTAAAACAATAAAGAGCTCAGAGAAACACTGCAGGAGGGTCACATGACACGAGTGGCTTTTAGGACTCAAGCAAAGTTTTAACCTGGGTTTAAAGATGCTGGAAGCACCTCCTTCCATGTCAGCTGGAGTGACTGACCAAGCAATGAGAGAAAGGCAGTCAGCCACATTCTCATGTAGCTCAACCAGTCTATCTGTCCTTCTACCAGAAGAGCTCACAGCACAACCGGCTACACAGGACAGGTGAATCGTAGAAGATTACGGCAAAGCTAATATTGATTTTTTCTGAGGTGGTGCAATTTCATTACTTACCAGAACGTATCCGCGTCAGAGAATGCCTCTGGTTTCAGCAGCTGACCAATCCATATAGCGCCCCGCAGAGACTCTGGCAAGAGCTGTCCTTTCAGCCTCTTGCAGACTGTGCCCATCCGGCCCGGGTCAGAAGCAAGGACAGCCGCAACGGAGCGTCCCAGCACCTGACTCTCAGCACAGTGCAGAGGAGGGGCCGGAATCTCACCAGGCTCTGCTGTAAGGGAGGTGTAGCACAGCTGCTGTTTACCTGCTCAACACATTTCTTTCCTATTTTAGTATAAATTGAATGAACTTCATCTCTATATATACTGTATATCATTTTCAGGACCCCTGTTGAGCAATATTATGCCTAGACATATCAAGATTGCCCCATCGTCTTCCGCTTCCTCAAAGTCCCGCCTCTTCACAGCTTGCCTGTACATCTGATCATTCTTTTGCTTGCTGTAATTGCTGTATCTTCCTCTCTACTGTACATCTGATTTCTAGCACGTTACTGTATCATGCTGTTAGATCTTTCTGATCTTTCTGTTAGACCACTCCATGCAAAGTCACTTTGCACTGTTCATTTCTGCAGCTCAGCCATTGTTCTGTTAGTCTGATTAGATTTTCATGACCTCTTCTCTGTTGTGGGATATTCATCGATTTAAGTTGCTTGTATAATTGATAAAGTATGATCTTATTACAAAAACTGGTGTTTCTCAGCAGTACCTTTAGGTTTTAACTGGAAAACAGACCCTCTCCGGGTAGCAAGATGCAGATCTTCACTCTCCACAGAATGTGGACGTCTCCTTGCCATTGAAGCCCAAGCAGATGGACTTTCGATGGAGTTAAACTTTGGGGCCTCCTAACGGAATTAATACATTAACAGAAACTAATAGGTGCATCACTGTCTTGTTTTAAAAATGTTTTTTTTCATAATTGTATTACAGTTACACAATGAATACAGTTACACTTTGAAGTACTGTATGTAATTTATTGTTCTTATTTGAAAGAAATATCATTAAAAAACAAAATGAAATTTTAAGTACAATGAAATTACATTTAAAAATAGGGTTTCATACAGCACAAACATGTATAGGGTGTGGATAAGAGTGTAGGTTCCTGGTCAGTAACGATCTTGCTGGCCCTAAACAGAACTCAGGAGTCCAAAACGTCTTTGTCAATAGAAATTGAAATGTAGTCCATGCAAATCAAACAATTATTTGAAATTTCTGAACATGTTCACTACATGTGCACTTCTGGTTACATTGTATGAATAATAAACTGCACACAACTTGGGAATACTGTTTGGGACTGACAACAGACAGCAAAAGCAGGGGCTAAAGGCTAAAGACTGTGATCTGAACTACATTACAGAATGCTTTAAAGAGCAAGATAAAGAATGAAGAATGAAGACTACATTCCAATTACTGTAATGCAGGTTTTGACTTGTGCATAAAGATCATCATTGTATATGTATGACACACACCTTCAACAAACATAAAAAACAATTAAGACATACTTTTTGCTTTTTCTCCTCCAGAGCCAGCATTTGTTCCATCTCTGAAGTGACCATGTGGTAGGTATCTTTAATAAAATGCATCATTTCTTGGCTCACACCGCTGTAGTCACCATCTGTGGGAAAATGCATCAGTTGTATCAAAATGCAAAACAAATATAAAAACATTTTTGTTTTAGGTCACCTCGACACTGCTTTTCCTGCATTCCATTGGTATTCAAAGCATTTATACTGCAATAACAGTATACTTGTGAAATGACGCTTTTTGCAGTATTATCTAGTAAAATAAAAATAATTCATTAACAAAGTATGCTGTCAGTCCCACCAAGTGTGCTCTCAGCTTGCCTGAACCTCCTCAGTGTAAGCAATTTATCATTAATAGATGGAGTGAATGAGATACAGTATACACTAACAAATAGTGATGTATATGGACGTATTTAATCTGGAGCTCTTCACTAAAGATCTGAGTAAAGACACTGGATACATTACATGCTTTCATGAGATAGTATTCTGTAAAGACTATGATGCTTTTGATCACAGGAAATCCTTTATATATGCATGTATTTATACTGGCACAGAAACAATTTACTAGTTTTGCACTCAATTGAAAATCTGACTCACCCACCAGTTGCTGTTTTCAAACCCAATAATTAATGCCAGCTTCAAACTGAGTGCAAACAAGACACCTCTACCAAACAGAATGCCATAGAGAATTGGGCCTGGCATGTAGAGGTTGTGGGAGTATGGAACTAGCTAATCAGCCATTTTGTTAAATGCTGATAAAGTGACATATTTTAAGAAAAGTTTGGATGAGATCAATTAACTACTTAATACCAAACAAGCAGAATGGGCCAAATGGACTCCCCTCAGTTGTAAACTTCCTTATGTTCTTACGGTTGAGGTTTACGGTTTGCAGGTTGGTCAATTTATTCTTTAACGTGAACAATGCAGTATATAAGCTCAGTGCCCCCGGTTTATTTCTGATCGTGTGATGGCCATTTAAAGGAGATGATTAAAAAATGAAAAAAATCAATAATTATAAAACAAGATAGACTTATCTTAGCTTTGTGTCTGAATGACCAGTTAGACGTTTCCTCTTTATTGTTTAAACACAGCCGACAGGTCATACTCATGGATCTTTCCCAGCACTGTTCATCTTTCATTTCATCTTTCCAATAACCTCATAAAGTAAGAACTAAATGGGTCCAATAGATATGTGAATAATGACAAAATGTGTGATTCGAACACTGATGATACTACTACATCAAATACCAGCAATGGTGATAATGACAAAATGAAGCTTTTTTGCTCCTGAAAGACCGTGTCGAAGAAAATCCTATTGTCTGGAGCTCTTAGAAATCTCTTGACTTTGCTGTGACTCATTACCAGGTCTTCTGGGACAGCAGCTGCTCTCCACTGCTCTTTCACACAGTGCATCCAGCTGCCTGAGGGATTCATACTCCAAAGAAGCTTTCTCACTCTCACACAGAGAGAGGGAACACTGCAAGGAAGATGAAACCAGCTATCTGAGCATTCATAAATGATCACACCCCATTTTAATCGTGTTGTTGATAGTTTACAAAGGAAGGCAATCAACTCATTACGTCCAAAATAAAATAGCATTGTTATGATATGATGAAGAGAATATAAAAAACAAACTTTTGCATTGAAAAAAATAAATGTTGAGTGTATACACACTCAATTACAGCAGCATAACATACAAAACTCAACAGTGTACAGTGCGAAAATATAGTTTTCTTGTACGGCATTAGGATCATTATAGAAAGTAATATTCAAAATAAGTTACTTCACACATTCCTAGAGTTTTCAAGGTTTATGGGTGTTTTCAAGATAACTTTCACACTGACCATCTGTGTAGTCTGATGGAGGAAACCACCCAAGTAGTCCTCTAAAAAGTGTCCACCGAGAAGGCCCAGAGGGAGCTGGCTCTGTGGGTTTTGCCTCAGGTGGGATTCAACCTCTTTGGCAAGGGCTGCCCCGAGCTTTTCATAAACCTGTGAGGAAAACTGTGATGAGATCCATTGTAAACAGGAATCAAAACCCCTTACAGGAAATTGAACAGTCTACACTAAACCTGCCACCATCCACAAGATACTTACAAAGATCACTGGGAGAAAATGTTTTTTAAACACGTTTTTGTCGCCACACAGTCATTTAGAGTATCCTTTGCTACAGCAGAAGGCTCCTTGTCTAAAACCTCAACTGTACTACATCCTGTGAACCTTCTTTTACAACAACCTGTTGCTGTGCATAAATGCTTTACCACCAGAATGTATTTGGCTTTAACAGTAGAAACTATTTTGCTGGCCTGTGGCATGAATGCGTCTTAAATGTTCAATCAAAAGAAAACAATAACCAAAACACATTTGGAGATTACATAAACAAAAAAAGATGCACTGTAAAACAAGTGATTTGAAATTGATTGGTTTTAAAGGCACTGCTGTGTAAAATAAAGAAAATTATTATACAGCGCACCATCCAAATAATCTTAAAATATTCTAACTATATTCTACAGGTGTGGTATTAAAGTGTGGTTTGGCAGCAGCTCATTGTCTGACCAAAAGGCATTACAGGGGGTGATCAGGTCAGCCCAGTCCATTACTGGAGTACAGCTCCCCTCTGCTATGGACATTTCTACAACTCGCTGTCTCAGGAAGGCAGGGAGTAGTGCCAAGGATAACATTTTCTCTCCCCTGCCCTCTGGTGAGCATTGTAAGAGCATAAAGGCATGTATTTCTAGAATTAGAGGCAGCTTTTTGCACACTGCTTGTGCTGTATTTCTTCTAAGTTGAGTGTTATTTAACTTTGACGATGTTGCTGCTGTTGTTGTGCTGTTGTGTAGGTTGGTTGTTTCCTTAATGTTTTTGCATGGGAGCAAACATACATTCACTTGTGCACATGACAAAAAAAAAACGGAACTGCAAACTCTAGTCGAGCTTTTGCAGCTGCACCCACTTAACTTATGCCATGGTTTGTCTGGTAACAGCGTATCACCAAGGCAGGAGTCTAGCCAGGGCGTGTGGAAGCCATGATTTCCCAGGGGCTGCAGGTGGTGCAGAACTGACCCATCTCCCATTTCCATTTTGACGTAGTCTAGGACCAGAGGAAAAACTACATTAACTTACTGTTTTAGGTATCTGTTATAAGTGATGTATCTGCTGGCAGACTTAATAGGTTCAGAGAATTGTACATAAACAAATGTAATATTACTATTTATATTCCATTAAGAAATTACTTAAAAATCAAGAGAAACTTTTGCCTGCCATTTGAAAATCAAACTATTGTTCTTCTTGTTCTATGGCTTCTGATATACAAATGCATAATATATTTTACTTGTGTTTAATAGCTGTAGCCACCCACACGATTCGCTAGAAAACTTTAACAATTGCGAATTATGTTAATCAATGACTTCTGACCGGATATTTCCCATCAAAACCGGACGTCAGACAGACTTACATGTATCAGTGGTCGTGCTAGCCAAAGTCACTAAAAATAAGTTACAATACACACACAAACTGTGCATGACTCTGTATGAACTCTGTAGGAGTATTAAGCGTTGTACACAATTATTTCTTCTCACATGGCAAAATAAGTTGAAGGACACAACAAGAGTTTGATAAACCGATTTTCATCCATATTGTAAAGACTTAACACTGAGTTCAGTTACTAAAATGTTCCTTCTACGGTCTTAAAAAAGGGGAAATCACTAGCAAGTGTTAATATATTGTTCAAAATACGGCGGCATGGTAGTAGAATACTGATGAGTGTACAAAAAAGCGCATGTTTGCACAGAATGATTAATTTTAAATGTAAAGTACCCACCTACCCTTGAACTGGATAGTTTACGTTGTCATAGCAACTGTCATGACTACGTAGAGGTTAGCCGGTGAAAACTCAATTTCGTCGCTATTGTTCCGCCAATATTTTTAAAAGAAATCCATCTTCCCGACGTGTCTGAATTTCTGTAAAGAAGCTTTAGTCAGAACAGATCAGAAAGAATAAAAATAAATACACAGAAAGCGTTTTCCTCTTTGCCCTTTCACCTTTGACCCATTTTTTTTCGTTACGTTTAATCTGAGTTGAAAGATGTCTGCGGGACGGTAGTGGAGTGGTTGAGTCAGTTTTGCTTTAGCTAGTTTTTCTTTTTTACTTTTTATTTTCGTTTTATTTCGCTCGATGGGGTTCGAATCTATTATTAGAAAGGTGCTGGCGGCGCACGATGAAACTCCGGAGTCAGCATGACAGGTGATTCTTTAAAAAAAAAAAACAGCTGGAGCAGTGGTCATCTAAAATTCACAAGTTCACCTGAGTATTTTTAAAGTAAAAGACGGAACAGCATAGCGTCTGATCAATGCATAAACAATTATTATTACCATGCGTGGACTAAATATAGAAAGTTATTACAAACACATACGTCTCGTTACTCTGCATTCCAGGAACAGCAAGTCTAGGTCATTCGGATTTGATCAGATTTTTCAGGTACACGTTTTTTAAAAAAATTCTACATTTTGTAACGGTGAAGGCGACAAACGAGTTTTTCATTTCTGACTCTTTACGTGTCAGCCTTATTCGCGCAGGTCTGACGTACGGAAAAGACACGCGTCAGTAGTCTAGTGCGAGTTGCTCTGCTGTTTAATGTCAGCAGTGCCCGGACACGAAAAAGTGGGTCGCAGTTCAATCCTTGGAATAGATTTTTTTAAATGCATCTCTTGTTAATCAGCTTTGAAAGGAGTAATCTGCATCCGCCGCCTGTCCTTGTTCGGGAATTGTCAGCAAGGATGTTCGGTAGCGGTCTCTAATCTCGCTTATTTCTTGGTGTGTTTGCAGGAGAGGTTCTATCGAGTCCAGAACACTGCCGATACTGAAAGAATCGTCCACTGTAATGCAGACTAACCCAAACGAGCTTAACATTCAGGCGGGCAATGGCTTATCTCTAACCCTCCAAGCGGAGCCGCTAACCAGCCCCGGGTCCTCGCAGCCTGAAGAGGTGCACATTCCCATCTCCTGTGCCCACGGAGAGCCCAGCGGGAGGCCGGCGAACCGGCGACCCAGGACCGCCGCTCACGGCCACGGCCACTCCCACGGCCACGGCCGCCCCCACTCGCGCAGCGAGCTCGAACCCGAGTCGGGGGATTCCGATCCGGAACCCGGGGAGCCCAGTAGTTCCCTTTCGGAGCTGCGCTACCTCTTCCGATGGGTCCAGAAAAGCCTCCCTTTTATCGTCATCGTGTGTGCCAAACTAGTTATTCAGCACGCCCTGGGTATGCCTTGACGCTCTGAAATAAACTTTCCGAGCAGCCTCTCCGGCTTTTGGATGCATGGCAGCGACACTGCATCATCATAATTGCGTTTGCACTAAGAGTCGATAGTGGCTCATTCATGTGAGGATGTTTTAAAATGTCGGGTCTGTGGCTTTGGGGTTAAAAAGGGTCAGACGCAAGAAAGAAATGATGATACACGCTATCTGCTAAGCGAGCGGATCCAGCAATTTATACATTATTATATTAATTCTGTTCCTTCTTTAAAACTAACGACCTGAAGCATAGGTGATCTTTCAGCTCGACAGGTGGCCCCAGTGTTGATTGTAGATTGTGTTGTGGTTTCCAAGCCTGGTCCTGAGACAGCTCTTTTATGTGTTTCCTGTTCTGGCCATGCACTTAATCTGAGGTAAAAAGATTTCAATTTTCTATTTTAGGTGCATTTTCAGCTTTTCTTTTAGCTCTGACAAATAGGTTTGCAGATGTGCCAATCCTCAGTCACACCTGTTAGCTGACATGTAACGATTTGGACTACGCAGAAGGAAAAAAAAAGTTAATTCTAGGAGTGATAGATTGTCGTTCCAGCCTGTATATCATAAATCACCTCTAAGAGCTTTGTACTGTAGTCAGAAATAAAATAACAGGTTCTTAACAGGTTGAGAGATTGTATGAATGTCTGTGTGCTGAAGTTGTTTGAAATAATATACATGAGGGTGTTTCTTATTGATTACCTGCAGAACTATCTAAAGAGGCATGCAGATCAATGACATGCATGAACGAGCAGTGGACAAACCATCAGACAGATTAGACCCTCAAGACCAGGGCTGAGAATCATTGAGAGATAACAGGGGTTAAGTAACGGGAGTAGCACCCTGGGGTGCTCTGTTCTTGTGTCTCATCACCAACTGAACACAGGATTCAGAGCTCTAACTGGCTCATGGTATTGCCAGAATATATGGTGGTCTCATGCTTTCTTTTTTGGGCAGTTTCTGAGTTCTGATTTCATCGTTGGCTACAGCTGTCAGTTTGTTTTGTTCAAATTCAGTACCATACTATTAGCATTAGTTTCTGTATGAGTGTGCACGATCTTACAGCTCCAGATGAGCTTGCCTGCTCCATTCATGTTCAGCTTGCATGGTCTTTTAGTTCTAGAAAATATTCCTTTATCCACTTCAACAGGGACCACAGCTGATTCTCAATAAAGGAATGGACAAGTATGCTAATGTGGCTGAAGTCACATTTTTAGCCATCTTAAATATTTTACATTTTTCTGCCCAGAAAGAAAATGATTCATAATTTTTCTTTTTGCCTGCACCTCAGTACACAGGTTAACACTACTGCTCATGCAGATCAATGTAGTTACATCGCAGTGGGTTACAATGCACAAGTCGGCAAACGACAAATGATTGTTAACGACAATCATTAGATTTAATGATTTAGGTCTCATCAAAAAGTATTAAAGTCCCCCCCACATATCCTAAAAACCAAATCTAATTTTGAAACAATGTATGCGTGTTTGCTATTTTGCTCAATTTGTAAGTCATTCCAAATGTAACCCACTCATTTCAGAATATATTTTGAGCTGGTTTATGAACTTTGAGGTGAACCTAATATTTACTTACTCTATTACAGGTATAGCTGTAGGCGTTGGGTTGCTGACAACCTTTCTGTATGCAAATAAAATCATTCAGAACCAAGTCTTTTTGCAGGTACGTTTGCCCGAAACAATGCAAATGAATACAACTGTCTCCCAGTTAAATGATCCTTCTTTGCTAGGAGATGCTACAATGTTTTTGTGAAGCTGCGACTGAATTAGCAATCACTCTGTATATACTGTACCTCTCCGCAGGAGCGCCGTTCCACACTGGAGTGTGCATGGCTGCTGTTCTTCCTGACAGCTTCGAGCCTTCTTCTGTATTACACGTTCCAGGCCGAGACCCTTTACTACTGGTGAGGAGGACTTGAAAGCTGAAGTAGAGGGGACGATTCAAGGGGATCAAATGACTTGTACCATAGATAAGTACTGTAGGCTGAGGGAAAAGAAAGTTACATATTCCAGCACATCTATTGCAAAACCCTTCTCCACAGTATTCACTTCCCTGGTTTTTAATTCATTGTTGTTGTTTTTTTACAGCTTAATCTTTGTCAATCCTGGCATTGAATCCCTGGGGTTCTGGGATGTTTTATGGGCCGTAGGAGTAACGAACTTCATGTTGAAGTTCATATTCATGGGACTGAAGTGCCTTATTCTGTTCTTGCCATTCAGCCTTCTGGCTTTCAGATCGCGGGTAAGTGACGGTTTCTCAGGATAAGATAAATCCATCTCGCGTCGGCATGTGTTGTGAAAAGGGCAAGTGATACTTTTATCAAGGGTGTCTTTTGGCTGGTTTCTCAGGGCCGGTGGTACATGCTGACAGAGGAGATGGGCCAGGTTTACCAGACAGTGGTTCCTGTCCCTATGTGGTTCCGTTACCTGATCACCTATCAGGAAGTGGACGGCTCGACAGGATTGACACTGGGGATATTTCTAGCCTTGGTCTACCTCATACTGAAGGTAATAATAAAACCTAACAGCACACTTTGTAAAGAAAACCCTTAAATATTCCTTCCAAGAATCCAAATAAACATAAGCATGTGTCTGCATGTTGCTTTGGTTTGTATCCTTCCTAGTTGACACAGGGGTAAGTCAGGGGGTAAATGCTGATGGCTAGTTGCACTGATGTTGCAAGATGTGCGATGTCAAACTTCAGAGTTTTAAAAATCCGTCCCTCCTCTCCCCAGCTCCTTGGACTATACGGCCAGTGGGAATCATTTCATAAGATGCTCCGGATCTTTTTCAGCGAGGAGGTGAAAGATCATTTCCATAACTCTTTAAAATGCATTGCCTACACTGTTATTGTGGCTTGTAATTATTACTTTAAACTTTAATATTAAAACTGTTTTTTTTTTTCCAAAGCCCTTGTGGGGGGGAAAAAATGATTTTACAAGTAAAAATAAAAAGGCGTCTATAGCTAATGGGTGGGGTGTTAGGTTTCCCCTAATACCAGTCACCTAATTTGTTTAACACTAATATAGCTGTATTAGTTATATATACACACACACTATACATCACTGGTATTACTGGAAAGGCCATGTGCTTTTTACAAAGGAGGCGTTTAGGAGCTCATGAAAACCAAACCCTTTCCTATGCTTTTAGACTAGGAGCAAGTCCAGACTGCCTCACACGTTGCTTTAGAAGTTGGCCTTGTGTGGATTCTGTTGCAGCACCACGGAGCAGCGGCCACGAAGAGCCAGTGCAGCGAGGCGGGGGACGCCTGTCCGATCTGCCAGGCCGAGTTCAGGCAGCCGCGGGTCCTGCTCTGCCAGGTATGGCCCTGCCGAGCCGAGCCGAGCCGAGCCGGGCCGGGCCGAGCCGTCGGCAAAAGACCTCCCACCTGCTCGACGGGATCCGTCTGAAGACCTGAGCCCCGCTTCTGCAGATTTTCCAGGAACCGTAAAAGCAGCTAGCTGACTATCCAGCCATCCCCCTTTCTCACCAAATCGGTCCATCCTGCTGGCCAACCCGTTTTACACAATTAACTGGTTCTGCAAAGACTTCAATTCTTAAGTTAGTGGCGGCTTAAAGTCATCACTTTCCCTTTCTCCCCAATAGGGAGGGTTACTCTTCTTGGAAAATCAGGTGCTTTAGGGCAAGTTTTTAATGGCCAGAGAATCTTCTGGTTCCTTTCCAGCTCACAGCTTGAATCAGGTATTTGGATCAGACGTCCTGTTTTTTTTTGCATTGTAATCAGTTGCTAACTAAAAAGTAAAACCTGAGGAACGCTGGCCCATGAGGTTTAGGGTTACACATCTCTGTTCCTAAAGTAATCTAGGGAGAAGAGGAAGAAATGGGTGCCTACTTCAATGTTTATGCTTAAAGGCAGTGGTACACCACAATTTCAGTGCAATCCCAAACAAAATCAAATAGCATGCAAATTACATAGAATGTTTATGCTCATGTGCTGGTATTTTACCTAGTAGTTACTTAACATTAACCCATTTACTTCGCTGTTCCTTTTTCACAGCACATTTTCTGCGATGAATGCATTTCGCTGTGGTTTAATCGTGAGAAGACCTGCCCATTGTGTCGGACTGTGATCACCGATAAAGTCCACAAGTGGAAAGATGGTGCAACATCCCCTTATTTACAGATCTACTGATGGACTTGAACGCAAAAGGGTTAAGAAAATTAGCATGTATATAGCACAAGGAGTCAGCAGGGGGCAAGGCCACACAATCTGGGGGATATTTCATCTGTGTTGTTGTCATAGGTCTTCGGAATCTGAATGGGACCATCATGTAAGTGGGGGAAAAAAATTCTGACTTTAATTTCTTGGGGCTTGTACCAGCCTTAAAAAAACTCTTAGATTGGTGCTGCTTTTTCTTCAAGTGTAGATTTCAGTATCCCCATCTAGAAAGGACAAAATGGGACTTTTTCTTTCTGCAGGCATGTGGACTTTGCATTCACCTTTCACATTTCAATTCTGCTGTACTTCACATGGATGATTAGGGATTTAAGTTTTTTTTTTTTTTTTAAAAATCTGATGACTGTAGTACATATTTTTTCAGGCTTGCTAAACTCAAGACCTGGGAACCTAAAAATATTTTTGACAGTAGCAACAGATTTAAATATTTTTTAAAAGTATGCACAATATTTTAATTACAGGTTTTTTATAACCAGACAAAACACTTGGGGGCACTTAGTCTTATCAAAAAGTTCTATCATAGTTCACTGATGCAATACCTTTTTGTATTTTTTGTGTAACTTTGAAGTAGATTTTCTGTCTTTGCCCCAAGAACAGTAAAAGAGTGGCCAAAGACAGGGGTCTTGTGATTTGTTGTCCATTGTTACAGCTTTTGGAGTAGTCATTTTTTTTAATGAGTGGCTTTGAGACAGTTGTAGAAACTTCAAGTATTACAGGGAAGCTAAATGATCACCCCAGTATAAGTGTAGGTAAAGAATATTGAGTTTTTACTGTTTAAATATGAAACTATGGTAATATAAAGGTCAAAAATTAGATTTTTTCTGCATGAGTTGAAATGATTGCAGTGGCTATTTTCTGAACTTTTTTGATTCAACATGGGTGTTGGTTCAGAGCTTTATATATGAACTGTAAAATTTTCAGGGTTTCTGCCATTGTTTATACACTCATATGCAAAATAACTTAAAACTAGCTAAATGAAGTATAACAACTAGAACTATTACAATTCAAGTTTCAACAACCAAAGACTACATCATATACCTAGTTCATTATTGTACTCCATTATGCTGTTATTAAAAATATCAAATGAAATATCAAATATCATATGAAATATTTAAGGTTTGATTTTCCCATTATTTTTGCATTATCTTCTCAAATAAAGGACATGAAATGTTTCCAAAACGTTATGGTTTGACTATTTTTTTAAAAAGCAGTTGATTCTTTCACAAAGGTGTATCCTAAAAGATAAGATGAGAAAAAACATGAAAAACAAAAATGTTTCCTTCATTTAATAAAGGGAGTTCTTACACAAACCTTGGAGATAGTAATGAACAGATTTAATCATTTTTAACTTTACTATTTACAGCTGTTCACTTAAAATCAGATGTATAAGTCTTAAGACTCCTACCTAACTGTGGCACTGTACATATTTTTCTGTTGTCTTTTGTACAGGCTCTGTTCTACTCCCCAAAGCAGCAACTAAATACTAATTTCCTTGGAGGAAAAAAACGTAACCTAGAAAGCATAGACCACAGATGAGTTACATTTAAAGCTGTTGCTTCAAATGTCATTTGGGTTTAAGACAAGCATTGTTTGACTGGTTTTCACACACATCACTAATTATTTAGAGCCTTTGCTTTGTTCCTTTCCCATAAATAAGAACCATTAACAGCTTCCAGAAAGAACAGTTCAGAAGAATTCTCCAGCTCTTTATACAGTGTTTGAAAACTGAAGGCAACATTTTAAGCTACAGTTTAAAACTAGGCTTGCCACAAGAGATATTATCACAATCAACTAAAGTTATTTACCAAATGATTTACTAAGGAGTAAGATCTATGAAAAGGTAACAAGAAAACATCAGAAGTAACAGATTAAAAGTATTCATTTTTGTCATTCAGATGCCAATACCTTCTGGGAAGGATAACTATACAGAGTTTGCACTCTGGATCCTTGTTGGCTTTCAATCATTAGTAGTAAAATTGAGAAAACGGGATTTTATTAATAGCATAGTTTACGTATTTAAATCTCAAAATTCTCCGAGTGTTGACTGGTAGTTGACACCAAGCCTATCTGAAATACCTCAAGTTGTGACTCGACAAGAGAAACATAAAACAGACAAGAAATAATTTCTAAATAGCGTCTAAAAAAAATCATTTTATCTGCAGCTCTTCAAGAACAATCACATTTGAAGAAACAGCTCCATCCCCCAGATCAGCAATTACTTGTTCATTGTAGCCACGACCAGATCAATAACACATTTCATCAACATTCAAACACTTAAGAACAGATTATGTTTAGGAGTATTAACAATGTTGAGCCAAACACAGTGACTATAAAGGTATGCCTACGTCAATCTACAAAATTAATACAGCTTCCTATATACTAATACAGGTAATTCCAAATCTAAAGTGAGAAGCACTTGCTGCAGTCATTTAGTAGAAGTACAGGGTGCCATTTCAGACATTGTAAGCAAACACTTGGCAATATATGCATTTTTAAAGGCACAGAATGTACATTTTTGTGTCAGTATGCATTGACACAAAGACCCTACATTACCAACAAAGATGCTTTTAAACAAGTTAAAAGCATGTGAAGATGATCTTCACTATTGTGAGTCATCTGTGCACTATACTTCCATTTAGTATCAAAGTACCCCCCTGACTAAAAGCATTGTGAATCCTTATTTAATATATTCAAAGTTTACACTTTACATAGCAGGTTCTATTACTCAATTTTACAGTCCCTGCTTCGATGCACAACCAAATATAAAACAAAAGGACCAAAAAAGTGGAAAAAGATCATATTCTGAGCTTGGTAATTACAAATCGAAAAGTTTACAAAGATTGTAAAAGTTGAAAAAAAATACAATAGCTGCTGTGTTTCAAGTTATTTGCAATTTGTAAACATCAAAGATTAATTGACCAAAAATGAAAAAATCCCTAACAAATATAATAAAAAAATATTTCTGCAACTTTAAAAGAACATCTTTATTTTCTTTTGTGATTGTTTAATGCACAGCAGAGCTACTAGAATCTTTACAAATAAATACAGATAATTTGCATAGTGCGCTGTAGAATAGGGAAAATAAAGAGAATGGCACTTGAATAAATAAAACATTTCACAGTAAGTAGTAACTACAAATTTGAGCAAAGTTCAAAAGGGACCTATAATAAATGTAAGTGTTACAGATTTTCAAAGCTTAAAATAATGTAAAGGAGATTAAATTGTTTTAATGGATACTTTTACAATGCGAGAAGACGATACAAAGCTTAAAAGCTTGACTGGGACCAGTCAATATCGTTGCGAAAACATTCATACCTATGGATGAGGTACTACCACTCTGTAATTTCTGGTAACCTGTCTCGAGAGCTGGTTCAACACTTAATTAGAATGACTTTTTAAAAGCTTACAAGAAAACCAAACTTGAAAGTACTAGTCTATCCCACCTACCATTTGAAACACATGAGAAGTTAATCCGGGATATCTACACACATGAGCAAACTTGACAGTACCACTCCAACTTCAGAGCCGTTCGATCGCAGCCTCGTTTATTGCTAAATTTACATGCATAATACATTTCTAATTCTTTTCTGACAACAGGATAACAGCAGATTGCTTTAAGTAACCAGACCAGTCATCCTCATTTATAGAGCACAGAGATGCAACTCTTCGGAGATGCAATTCCAGTTGGAATCTATATTGACAGTCACTTGATTTCTGCAAACCTCTGACCCCTCTTGAATAACCAAAAACACAAAACCAGAAGCCACCCTAAATAAGGCCAAAGTAAAATTCTTCTATGAACTAAAGAGCTAGAGAAGAGCTTTAGTGCTGTAAGGTGATAAGTAACACTTCAATTAAAAAATTAAGGATAATGATACTGTATTTAACTGCTACAATCATTTTTCGGTCTTAGATTGATAACATCAATAAACCAAAACAGATTTTAACACAACTCTTCCTGCATAATAGTGAAATATTCTTAAGAATAAACACTTCACATCTCTATAGACTGCTGTCTTCCTATAATGTTAAATATCGCTTCTTAGAAGAAAGCATTCAGAATTCATAGCAAAAGGATTTTAGTTTGACTTGCAATCAGTGACTGTAATGAATAAACTTGGATATTTAAAACATGTAATTTAGCATTTTTACACTTATTATTAATTTCAACACCTTATACTTCAGGTCTAAAGTCTGAGTGGTACTTGCATATGACGGTATTATGATTTTTGCACACTAACTAGGACTTTGTCCTTTGAATGATTCGGGATATAACCCATGAGAACACATTTAGACGTCTACATTGGAGGGTACTGAACGGAGGTCTATGCAATAAAACTTGAAAAAAAGAATGGTCATGAAAATTAGGGTTTATTGTGCTAAAATACATTCAATAGCAAAATATAGCTGTAAGAATCAGTCAAATTTTCAGATGTCTAAAATAAACAGACTTTGTAGATGCAAGGGTTTAAATCGGTATAATAAATCTGATTATACCATTACTGGTTAAGCATCGAGTAAAAAACAAGAGCTTTCCCTTTCTTCATAATTCATTCAACGTATCAAGTCTTTCATACGACAATGGAGTTTTAGCAAGTTTAGTAGGCATTACTTAACCTTGCAAAACTGCTATGTACAAACAGTTCCACCAACAGGAAGCGGAAAACAATTCTATATTCTTCCTGGTACATTATAGAAATGCTGATAAACGGAAAACTTTTAATCAAAGCTTTGATCTGTAGGAGCTCAATGAGTTGCATACACAAAGTTACAGTATGTTCAACAAATACTTTAATAAGACGGCTCATGTTTCTGATTGTATCTTGTATACATGATCTTTCTTTATATAACACGCACCTGGGTGGACATTTCATGTTAAGGCTCATGGCTACAAACACTGCAGCCACACGCAGGCAGAACTAATTGAGTGTCGAGCCACTGCTCTTACCACATGGTATAGGAGGCTCAACAATGACTGGGGGAGGGCCACACCTCTGGTTGACCACCCTGCATGCTTGCAGGCACCTGGGAACCTGCAAGAGCTGCTGTGGCTGACTAATCCTGGCCTAACTGCAATTGGTGCTGTACCAATTGTACACTGCTGCCTCAGGAATCCCGTTTACAGCTGACCCGCAACATGAACATGCTTGAATCCCCAATGGTGTCTAGATCAAACATGCCATTCTGCACTCCAGCGAGCGTTTGACCAGTTCTGCCACTTGGAAGCCTCACCCATTTTTTTTAAATAAAAGGTCAGTCATGGAGACCTCACGTATATGATGTTGAGGAAGGGGTGAGAATGACCCTCTGTGCTCAACCACAACAGCTTTTCCGCAACCATTTTCAAGCACATGGGACCTCAGTTATCTCACATTCCTGGGTTGGGACATTGTGTTCTAAATGGTTTGCAGATTTTGCAAAGTGGCCTAATGCCAACCGGACAAAAGGTTCAACAAACAAATGCCTACCAAAAACAAATGACGATCCAATTCATACTGCCTGCATATGAAAAACTACTCTTCTACATTTTCACCACTAGGGCACAAAATCGGGAAACGGCATAAAAAAAAGCTTAGAAAGAGATCTGACTGTTGGAATACCCTATTCAGTTATGACACCTTCTTTCCAATCAATTTTCAGGTTTCCTCTTAAAAAGTGTATGAAAATGTGATTACCCCCTTTTTCACAATATGATATTTGATCTAGGAAAAACACTCATCTCCTCCCAAGTTCTGTGTACAGTACAGGGCTTCTTTATGGCTTTTCTCCTGATGGCTCAGCTTAGAAAATAAATACTTCAACCACAATCTTACTGAAATGCTTAAGACCAAATCCACGTCTTACTACGGACGGTTGTTCAAAGCTCACGAGCACAGAGAAATAGCAGTCTAGCAATTATTCTATACTGATACCTTGCAAACAGAAAAATACACATTACTTTTGGTTAAATGTGGGGGGGGGAAGATGGCTAGTACTTATCAGAATACTTTTTAAGGCAGCATTAAGGATTTGGTTACAGCTTAAGGTTGTCTGTAAAGATTTCTAAATCAGATAGAGGGGGCTGCTTAAAAAAAAGGCTTAAAAGAAAAAACCTTCGGAAGCAGCACTCATCGCCCCCTACCATTTTGACGTTGTATGCAGAAAGGAGATTCCCCAAAACCAATACGTTTTTACGATTAACGTAAATTATTGGTCAGTTCAAGCTGTCAAATGATGTTCAGCTGCCCTCACTCCATAAGGAGTGCACACAACATCTAAATCCAAGAGCCTCAACCAATCTGCAACTTTCAGTACTTCTGGAAAGACTTAAAACCACCTAGAAAGGTTGCCAGTATCATTTACACACAAAAGCATTAAAAACAGTCAATGCATAGCTCACAGGGTGCTGTTCTAGACAAGTTAGAAAAAAAATACCAACAGCTCTTGGGACAACGAAGTCCAATTGTTCTCTACTGTGATGTCATCATACAAGTCACACATTCACCACCTACCAATCCCAGCCATTTGTTCATGCCAAAATATCTGCAGCATTTCTGACTCAGCAGGGCTAGATGTTAAGCGAATCACCTCTTCTCAAACATCGCGTGAAAGGCAAAAATAAAAAAGAAACCTTTGAGCTCACGAGTCGGAAAAATACAGCTGAAATCAATTCACGTGATTAAACAGGAAAGTATATAAAAAAGTAAAACTAACTTTTTATTTTATTGTGACTACAATATATCGTTTCATTAACTCAGTATACCAATTGCATCCCTTTTTTGCAAACAACTCACAAGATGACAGTTATGAAGAATCCCTGACTAATGAAGGGAGTCCATTTTGTTTTACAGTTTCGTTAAAGTGATTTTATTCTGATTGGGGAAGCAATGCCACGTTCAGAGTAATACTGCGAGAACTTCAAGCATTCAGTGGAAGCAATTCATTAACAGCATTATATTAACTGACATGGGGCCCCGGCACATAATTCTCATCCAGTCAATACGAGGTGGAGTGGACTCTGCCGAAACGGATTCCCGTTTTTTTTTTCTTCTTCTTATGAGCTACAATGGTTTTACAAAATAATAATAAAAAAAAAAAAGTCCAGCATTCAGGCCCGGTCTGCAAATCATCCTCACACCTGATCAGAGGCAACTGGAGCATATATCTGAACGGGTGACGTGGTGAGGCGAGAGCCCCTTGCAGCCCCTGTCTCACACACTCGGGCTCCTCTGTGCACATGCTTGTCTGGAGGGGAGTCAGTGGCGCAGCTGGTGGGGGCACGTCACGATTTTATTTTCTAGCGTCCTTAAAAAACAAACAAACAAACAAACAAACCCTAGAGCTGGCTGAAGGTCATAGATTCATACGTAAATGTTCTGGCCTTTTGGAGATCATGGGGTAGGCCTGCTTTTTGAAGGGCACGGCGCCGGCGCCCGCTGGCTGCCTGATCGGCAGTGGGGCGGAGGCTTCCCCGCTAGCGGTTACGTCCATGTGTTCCACCCCGGACACATCCATGGCGAATTCCGTCGGAGCCTGGACAGCGGGAGCTCCCGGAATGACAGGACTTCGTGGCCAGCAGTCCCCTGAAAACTTCACTGGGCTGGGACACAAAAACAACAGCCTTATATCACCTCTGCCTGGGTTCACTCCCGTCTTCTCAGAACAAGGGTGTGGGCATATCTTAAATTCTTTAACGAGCAACGTACACTTCAACATGAGACACCTAATGTCAATCTAGACGCCTTTTTCCTGAAATGGGCCTCCACCATTTTTACCCATCTTCCACAGAGGCCACAGGATATTAACATTTAGTATAAAAACCAAGAACCTTCTTCCGGCTGCGTTACAAGATATGTACTAACAGTGCTCCAGAAAACGGTGAGCAGAAACTAAAACCTCTGCCTCAAGCCAATTACCTGACGGGTGTTCTTGGGCTTCCCAGAAATCGTCGAGGCGATCGGATTTTTGGCTCAAAAGAAAATTTCTCCTTTACATTTTCCAGTACCGAAGGAGCTACATATGTAAACCCCTGAAAGACAGTGAAAGGCAAGAACTCAGCATTGCAAGAGAGACTAAATTGCTACAGTGACTCAGAACAACTGATGGAAGACAGAAGTTTCTAAACAAGGACAAAACAAAATCACAGAAGAGAAATTTGGTAACTTCAAGAATTCTAATTCATATGAGTCAGAACAGAAAACAACATGATACAAGAAAAACTAATGGAGGGCATGTGTGGACTTACCAGGAAGACTTGATTGGCACTTTCACTGAGTGTCGAGTCATCAGGACTGTCTACAGGGGTCTGGCTTGTAAACTTTGAATCAAATTGGCTCACGTCATCGGCAGATTGCTGTTAGACAGAGAAAACAAGCTGTTTCTTAATTCTCCGATTTTATATGCTCTTACTGCAAAATCCTTTGCAAAGAGCAGCTGAGTGACATCTTGCAGAGGCTGGAATTAGGTTTAATTCTGACAGGAAAAATGGTTAATATGTAATATCATATTTTTCAAGAGAGTCTAGGATGAGATGAGTTATGGTTCCTAAAAATGAAAGGTGTGACACTTCAGAAAGAAACAAGATGATGATTTACAGATGTGTCCATTACAGATAATATCTCGTTCAGTGGTTCTCAATCCTAGACCCGGGTGAGCCAGGTGTTTGCTGGTTAATTGTGTATTTTTAGCATGTTTGTTCCATTCAATTCAATTCTGAACTCAAAAAATGTTGATGGAGTAATTATCAGCCTGTGCCAATTTCTCATTTTCAAAACTTCCCTCATTCATGTGTGTGAGGTATAATGGTAAACTGTCATTCCCATAAAAGTCATTTGAAATAATATAGTTTAGGCTAGTTTTTCAAATCAAGGCCTAGATGCAGATAATTTCTAATCACATGAACTGGTAATTAGAACTGGTAATTAAGGGGTCAATCAGTTGCAACAAAAAGACACAGTAGACCCCGAGATCCAGGATTGAGGACCACTGTTCTAGACTCAAGGAGATCACTGACTAATTTTAAGGGCCTTCATCTTAATAGCTAAATTCATATTAAAATAGGGCTTTTGTATTAAGCTCCAAATTGAATTTAACCAAGTAAAACATGGTATTTTCCATGTCACCGTAACAATCCCATATTGAAGCAGCATCGAGACTGCTGCGATACCTACTAGGAAGGGTTTGAAAGGCGGCTCCACTTTACGGGCAAGGAGATCGTCCCAGTTAATGTGTCTGAAGAAGAGATGAGCCTACAAGAAAACACATTGAAACAACAGCTCTACTGAAGTCTTCCCTGGCTCAATGAGACGGTTACTGGAAACGGCTATAAAACAGCAATAACTATTTTCCACGGGGTTGATTTGACTCAAGTACTTAAAGCACCTCGATGCTTTACAGGACTACTTCCCATCGAGTTAAAAAAAGAGACACAGCACACAGGCTTTAAAAACGCAGAATAACATTCCCTAGCTTTTTAAAGAGACGAGAGGAAAACACACCTGCACTTCTGTGGCATCTCCTGGTCCACCTCCCAGCCGTAATGAGGCATTTCTTTTTAGCAGCTGCAAAAGCCAAGTTGAGGTCAACTGAGATCAGCTTAAGTCGCTATGATGTGCACGAGGGTACAGAGAACACACATGAAACAACGTGCTACAATACATCTCATGGATCCAAGGTTTTAAAAGCCTTGCAAAAGGTGAAAACACTGCAAAGGGAGACAGGAACTGAAAGTAAGCATATTAGTGTCACTGTGACACACTGCAGCATGGGAAGCGGCAGTGTGTCACTGCACAAGAATCACTACATATGCAAATGAAGTGGCCTTCGTCATCAAATGTAACAACCCCCCCGTCGATCAACTCCACTAAAACAGGGAGTACCATATCAGAATCAACTCTGCAAAAGATTCCCTTCCCAGAGCATGAAACAAATCCCAGAAAACTATAAACACACTCCGATGTTTCAAGCATGATCATCAAATCCATTTTATATGGAATTGTTTAAAACTGGTTACTATGGTACAACCTCCAAAAACCTACTCAATTGACTCAAACCCAAGACCTGCAATATTTAACAATCTCCAAATGTTATCTAGGAGTGATTGACACTAGTAGCAGAAGCAGCAATCGTAGTAGCCATAGTAGAAGTCTTGGATAGTAGGAGCTACTATCACTTATTTGTTTATGAGGAGTCTGAGAATGTTCGTGAAGGTTTTTGTGCAGGAATTATCCTTATGAAAACAATAAATGACAAGCTTCTAGCTTGGCATGAACCTGCCTTTGGCACTTATTCACTTAGATTCAGCTGCAGCATTTGACATCGGTGATTATTTAATCCTGACTGAATGTCTTCAGAACCTCTTGGGATTGTCTGACGGTGCCAATTCTTGGTTTACAATGCTCAAATAGAGTACAAAGGCTACACCTGTGGCGTCTCACAGGGTTCTGTTCTAGGGTCTGTCTTTTCTTTACATAGGCTACCGTTGAGCAAAATTGTCTGAAGGCTTGACGTTAAACAACACCATGCCAATGACAACAAACTACGACGCTCTCTGAAACGAGAAGACACTCCAGCGGTAAATATTCTGATCACAAGGCTGAATAGGTTGCAATTAACCAATGGATGGTGACAACTTCTTATTGTTTTATGCTTGGTTAAAACAAGCTAATGATGATTGGTTTAATGAAAAAATCAACCAAGTAAATCACACCAACTATCGTATTAACTAACAACAGTTCCCGATAGGCAGTATGGGATTAAATCACTCTAGAAACAGAGTTCCCTACCTTTTTGAGAAGGTCCCTGGCTTCTTGTGTGAGGTAGGGTGGAAGGTTGAGTTTACACTTCAGGATTTTGTCAATAGTTTTCTTCCTGTTTTCACCCGTGAAGGGTGGCTGAAAAACACAGGTTAGGAAAAAGTATACATTTATTGTTAGAAAAAAAGTGCATCTTTCTGGTGACAAAATATCGTATTTTGCTTTCGTTTTAGAGAAACACTAACCAGGACCCATGTTCCACATCTGACAAGACAGCTTTCTTGGTAAAACTAATACTATAAAGTTCTGGTATGCCCAACTATGCATGGAGCTCAGAGAGGACTGATGGCCAACAAGTCTCCCATCTCATTGAATTACCTCCTGCCTCAATGTTAATTATTACGAGACTGAGCGGCAGAGAATGGAGCTCAGAGGGATCAATCCGTTCAGTTTGCTGATGTGCCAATTTAGGTTGGTGCCCTCACCTGAGATGACACTTGTAACACTTGACTAACATCCTTTCACCTGCAATTTTGCTTCTTTCACTTACAGCCTTTACCCCCCCCCCCAAGAAAATGCAATGCCTTATTTTGTGATTCATCTTTGGAGGAAGAGCCACATGCCTCCCTAGACCGTACCACACCCCGTGTATATAAAGAGACACTCACTGCTCCCGTCAGCATGTCATACATTAAGGCCCCCAGACTCCACCAGTCAACAGCCCGGTTGTGTCCGCTCCTCATGAGGATCTCAGGAGCCCTGAGAGAGAGAGTCGGAGAGCGGAAGATTAGACAAGTGCTTTTTCTTCATTAAAGGAAATACTTTTTCAGTATTAATGGAAAAAGGAGGTACCCCTTCCCAACTTTAAAAACTGCAGTTCAGATGGAGTACATTTCATATATTACACCTGCAGAGCTGAAAAACCTACACTGTCTGTTTTACTTACATGTACTCTATTGTACCACAAAAGGTATGGGTGACTGTGCCATCGTGTATTGATTCTTTACAGAGTCCAAAATCGGTCAGTTTCACATGACCTGCAAAAGAACAACCAATATGTCTTACTAATGGGAACAGAATTTAGTATGCATATTTAATATTCATCATAAAAAAACTACAGCATTTTAAGTGTTGTGTTATACAAGATTTGGTTGTATATAAAATTTCATACATTCACTTTAAAAAAATCCTTTTAGCAATGGTTTAGCGATACTTCTTGATAAGTAAAGGAAAAGAAGAACACATTCTCTCCAATCACAGTGGTTCAAATGTTTTTTTATTCACATTTGCTTTTGTCGTTGGTACTGGCCTGCGAGTGACAGAGATCTTGTCTTATGCTCATTTCAATAACCACGCATGATCCCTGTGGCTAATATTTAAACAAATTACTTGTTTAAATGAATTAGGCTGAGTTATAGCTGAGCTGCTTTAAAGACTTCAGTCCCAGAATTAGGAAGCAGGTTCTCCACTGATTTAATAAATAGACTGGTTCTTAGAAAATCAGATCCATGACGTAGTGTCAAAGCATTATCTAGTGTTCCTGCAGCCGGTATTCTGGGAACTGCTGCTCCTGACCACTCAATCTGCAGACAAAGCCGCTACATTACCTTGGTTATTAAGCATGATGTTTTCTGGTTTTAGGTCCCTGTAGATGATCCCTTTCTGATGTAAGTGTCCAAGAGCCATGGAGATTTCTGCTAAATAAAAGCTGAAAGTAGACATATAACTATTAGAACCCTGCCTGCCAATATCACTTTTAACCTATTCTTTCCATGTTATCTTTCACTGGAATTCAAACGACATAAAATATTGATTTATTTCGGCTCATGATCAGGAAAATGTCATGTAGTTTTAAACAATGGCAATATAGAAAAACGATTTTTCTCCAATTGCTGTTCATCATGCCAAGAAAAAAAACCTTCTAGTGTTTTTTTTTTATATCACCAACCATCTGACTACTGCAAAACGTCTGTGATTTATACCAATCTAAGATCACAGCGAGCAAGACAGCTTTATAATGTGGTGCAAACACCCGAAATAAAAGATAACGTAGCCAGTTCAGTGACAGAATGAAGCAGGTAGAACTGCAGATCATGAAGACTGGGATTCTGACTACAAAGCGTTCCCAACCACTTGACTCTAAAAAAAAAAAACTCTGGGAATGTTTCTAAAAGAGGAACGCTTAATATAATCTCCAATCCTCCAAACACGAAAAACTTACCCAGTAGTAAGTAGCATGACACTGCCTCACCCGTTCCTCCATCTCAGATCATCTCAGCGTCTTAGTTTCCCCAACCTGAATAAACCTTAGGACAGTCCCTTGACTTTCTGAGCACTTACCAGGCAGTGTCCTCCATGAAAATTCCTTCTCTTTCCAGCTGCATAAAAAGCTCTCCACCTGCATACGGCAAAACAAAATTACCATCTTTTTAGGTCTCGTGTCTCATAATTCTAATTCTGTTATTATAATTTTAAACCAACCTCCCCCGGGGGTCACTTGTGATTAGTGGAACAAATATGATGATCTGCTGGCGCAAACGTAAAAACCTGCAGCTGCCGAAGACAAAGCAATTTCAATCACACACACCTTCCGGGTTCAGTTTTTTTTTTTAAATGGGGTCAGTCGATAGGGATGTTAGCGTTTACGGCAGGAAATGATGCGCCAGGCTTACTTTCCGCCCGCCTCCACCCGCCGCGGTTTGTGCACCTCGTACGCCCGTGGCGGTACGCTCACAGCTCCGCGGGGAGCCCCGCGCGAACCCACACCGACGGGCCGGCCGCGAGGACTGCCCTGCGCACGCACGCCGCTGGCATTCCAAGGAGGAGGCTGTGCAGACGCTCACCGCTCAAGTATTCGAGGATGAGGTAAAGCTTTCCGCCCGTCTGAAAAGCGTAAATGAGATCCACGATGAAGGGGTGCTTCACTTCCTCGAGGATATTCCGCTCCGCTTTAGTATGAGCCGTGTCCTTCGCGTTTCGCACGATCATCGCCTGCGAGACGGAGCAGACGTTAGCCATACTG